AAACTCTATTCTCACGAAATTCGTCTCGTGTATCCCTTCCGCGGGGCAGCGGTGTTGCGTGCATTGTTCTAATTGCCTCAGACGCCCCCGAAAAAATTTAAATATTCCACTTCAACTTGCACCTCCCTCACCTTGAGTGACAGTTATGCGTGAGGACACGCAGCGCGTGTTCTGCGAGGGGCACAACAACCCAGGAATCTTTGTCAGGATGGTGAGGGAAGAGATGAACATCCGAAGAAGATTTCGAAATCTCCAAATAAAGTTCGAGGCCAAGCCTACGCCGATTCCGCTTGGGGGTCATGACTGGGCTTCAGAACCTCATGGGAATGGCACATCTGCGCTGGCGCGAGGCCGTTCCTATGATTTCCTTCACCCTTCATCACATACCACGATCATAAGAGCTCTCCCGAACTCTGAGCCGACAGAATCGGAATGGAACGAGGGAAGGCGGAGAGGCATTTTTTGAGACTCGGCGTCGATGTCAATGAATGACGATGGAAACGTGGAGTCATGATACTCTCCCCCCCCCCACCGTCGGGAAAGATATTTTGGATGCTTCGTTCCTGGGTTGACGCCGACTCCGAAGCGCTAGGGGACTCTTGTTCCCGCTCTGATCTCATCTCTAAATTTTTACCGGCAAAGGCGCCCAGACGATTGTAGTCGACGCTGTTGATCTTCGCGTTGGCGGAAGGTCTGCGGGAACTCAAGTTATTCCTCCCATGAACAAAGGCCCTGCCTCTCACCGTGGAGACGGTCGGAAGAAGGTCCGAAGGACTACCGAGTGACTAGTCGGTAGGTTGGCCGGCCGGTCCGCTTGGTTAGCTGGTTGGTTGTTCGGTCGCTCCGTCAGTCAGTTTCTCGTTCGGACGGCTTGGTTAGCTGGTTAGACAACACGATTAGCATAAATATGTCGTCAACGATAGAATCTCCGCACCCCACGTGAGCTCGCTCCGTGCGTGGATTCGGCAATCGGGCTCTGGGGAAGATGTAATTACAGAGTGCCGTTGCTGCCGCCCTTGCTGGTGCCAACAGGTGATGTCGTCGTTTTGCGTGCGTTTTGCGTGCGGTGCTCCGTTTTGTGGAACTTTCGTCGGAGTGACGGAAAGACCTCACACAGTAGTGGTAGTGCCTTACGCTCAGAATCCGCAATGAGAAGCGACTCAACGACGTGATGATGTAGGTACCTACCAGCCAAAGGTGGTGACGCGCTGCTGTAAGTGTCGCCGACGTTGCCACCGCCACGGATAAGGCCATCGTTGCTATCCCATGCTCGGCTCGTGTGGTTGACCTAAAAATCTCTTCTCATTCCGCTCAATCTCAATCCCCTCCGAAGACGCGTGAAGCGGTGAGCACCCTCTGAACAAAGTCAAATTCTGCGCACGTGAGATAATTTGCAGAGGTTACAGAACAGAAGAAAAAGCAAACTTAGTTTAACTTCTTCTGTCCACGGCCTGTTGCTCGCCCGACGCGGATTACGGAGCCCGGTGATCGAAGACCACGCGGTCCCGGCTCTTTTTCTCTCTGGCGGTGTTCTGCTGGTTTGTCCAAGCAACGAACGAATGAACGAGAATGCGACCGAGCATCCGTTCCCCGTCAGGTTCGTGTCGGCTTCGTATTGTTTGTGTTGAAATCTAAAATAAAGCAAAGTGCAATTAGAGGCAATCAGCTGATGGAGCCGAATCTCCGGTGATACATCTCAGCTCTGACAGCCAGAACAGTGCGCGGAAAAACGCTCGTTCCCGCTGCAGAAGACGACCGAATACCTACCGCGACGTGGACTGAGAATGGTGACGCATGTCGCTGAGTTTCTGCTTGCGACCTCAACCGGATGGATCCGCGCCTCGCTCGCACCCAGTTCCCCGAGGGTTTCTGAGCTCTGGAAATCGACGCATACGTGCATATGTTCCGATCCCTGCGCTGGTGCCGAGGAGCAGTCATAGTGTGCTCGAAGCCCTCGATTCCGAGCTGCCGAAGTCTTCTGGTGACTCTCCATGCATATTCCTGGGTATGTTCCTTGCTTATAGGCCCGAGAGCGGAGACGAATTCGTTCACGGGTAAGCCACGTCAACGCGTAGGGAATGGGGACAGCTCGAAGATGAAAAATCGTGGCACCGTCCCTGAAACAGTGGAAGTTCTTTCTTCTGAGTTGATTTCACGTATTCACACACAAACACAATCGCCAACATTCGCTTTGAATTAAACAGGCCCAGGATCTCGGTCGGCATTTTTGTGTGGGCTCTCAGTTCCAGGGTCGTCTTCAAACTGACAGATAGACGAGCAGCACATGAGCGCTCTGAGCGACCCATCGACCGAACGAGCGGCTAAGGAGCGAACCCACGGACGGATTCTGGCAAAGAGGAGTAACACCATCAGGTAGGGCCGCAGTTCGGATGCTTGAATCCGAAGAAAGAGTAATTCAGATCATTAAAACGCGATCTCCCCGCCATTCATCTTCATTCCGACTTCAACACGAGTTGGTGACTACAGAAGCTCTTACGAAAATCCTCCATGTAGGCGACTTGGACTTCTCTGTTTATTTGAATTGTTTCCGAAGATGCCGACTGCACCTGAGGCTAGCCGTCACTAATCTTGAGAAGACTACTCCTCCCTTGAAGACAAGACCTCCAACGGCATTTTCCGCTGCGAAGTGAATCTCCTCTGGAAACGGAAGCGGTGACGTCGTCCCACGGTTATGACGCGTCCATCTCCATCATACGGACTAATAGCGTAGGGTCTTCTCGGGACTGGTCAGCGACTTGTCAACGAGACAGGGGAAACGAGAAGAATCCGAATACCCCATCTCTCGGCAGCGTATCGTACATATGTGTGCATTAGGCGATTTGTATGCGATCGGGTTGATAGCCTATTCGGAAAATCACTAATCCATGGGTTCTCGATATGGAGTATTCCGCATTGAAACAATCTAATCTGTGTGAAGATGGGGTGGGCTTCAGCAGGTCTCAATTGAGGCGCCGGCGCCGCGGTCGCCTCGGTGGGATAAACACACGGAAAGTGGATACCGACCGAAAGTCGAGCCGGCGCGGCGGAGCAGCGATCGGGTGGAATAACGAGGAGCGACCGGAGCGAGTCTCTGGCATTTAGTAAATTTGTCTGCATTGTAAATTACTCGACACAACGGCTGTATTACCGAACAAGCTGACTGAGCCGGGCAGCAGCAGCATCGTCGACAACAACAACAGCACCGCCACCATCAACGACGATAATTAAACATCTCAGGATTCATCAAGAAGCCGCAAAATAAACGATAATGAACAAAAGCCATCGCTCGCTTCAGCGTCAGCAAAAGCGTTAACTAACACAGTCGGCCGACATAATCGGCCGTTCCGTCGGTCGCTTGTTGCGCCGCCGTCCGGCTGAACGCTCGTCCGCTCGCTCGACAACACTTCTTCTGAATCCGACTCTCTCAGTTGCTCACACATACATATGTGTTCCCCTGTCTCCGAGAATCGCAACAGATTAAATCATCACGTTGAGTTTCGCAGGGGAGATACCGTATCATTCAAAGCGCGTGGTATGGGAGCTCTAAGTGATATGGTTACGCTCTTTGATGAACGAGGTGGTTTTTTTTGCCCAAGAACTGTCCGCTGTGAGACCTCACTCAGTAACAAGCGGCGCCGACGAGCGACTCGTGCTCCGCCGACAATTATGCAGAAGAGAAAAGGGAAGCTGGGGTAATTAATAAGGTAATACAATATTCTGCGAAGTCCGAATCGAGCACGCTTAGATAATGTAGTCGTTGGGAGACGGCACGGTCTCCATCGATTGCAGCGTAGACGCAAACACATTCTCGTGAAAATACATAAATAAATGAAACAACGAATGGCAAGAATTTTTTCTTCATAATTAGCCTTCAGGCTGTACGCTCCCCTTCCCATCTTCATTTGCGAAGAGCGGCCGCAGATCGGTCCGTCGATTCCAGTCGACAAACCGACGACCTTAGAGCCCACGGTAGATGAAAAGTTGTTTCGCTGCGAGGAATCAATTATTTCAATTTTTCAATTCCGGTCGAATCTATTTCTCATTGCCCAAACAATTTCTTTGACATATGAGATTGTCAGCGGAATTCGGACGCACCGATTGCGAAAGACATTCCATGACACCTCTCCGTCGTCGAGAATCGTTACAAATTCCCTTCTCTGCTCGAAAGCCATTCGAAGAGGACTTGTGAGAGAAATTCTAATTTTTCTCCCGTTGTTATTCTCCCCAATTACCAATCAACGAGTCTGGGGATTCCAGAAAATAGTTCTTTATAATTGCTGCAATTCCATCTGTGAGTTCGTTCACTTGAAGGTGGTGCTTTCCATATAATTTCGATAAACTTATTATTTTCTGATCGAGCCGGGTGTTCCGTCCAGGACGCCACAGAGTGCCTGCTTCTCATGTGTCTCCTTCGCGCTCTCGTTACGCCTTCATCGGATCTCATTTCGGAAGGCATCTCCGATGTTTTCCGATTCAATACACCGATAAGGAACCTGTCGCTAATGCATTAGATCAAAGGATAACTCGATGGGCAGTTTGATGAAAGATCGAGATACAGCAAACAATGGGCTCTCAGAGAATGGTTCTAATGAGAAGCCTTCGTTCCCGAATCATGGCCATAGTAATATATGAGGACCGCGCTACACACCGTGAGCATAATTTGGATTTGCCCATTGTTCGTTCCCGACAACCTCCAGCAAGTCGATGAGCCTGTTTCTTGAACCGAGTGGCAGTAGAGTCGGTAGCCGGCTGGTCCTTGGCTTGCCAAGACCTCTGCTCTCCGAATCTCGTGCGGCTCGGTCCCGCGGACTGTCCCGCCGTGTCAAACCAGCTCATCCCTTGCACGGGATTTATTCCCGGAGAAGGGATCGTAACTCGCAGACGTGGGGGTTGAGTTTCTGCTTGACGATTGCGTACCAACTCTTCCCTGGCTTAGTGTTGTTTGAATGCGGCGCCCAAAATGTCTTCTGCTTTGTTGATAAACAAGCAAGCAAGGCGCTCACCGAGAACCGGCACTCTCGGCCCCGTCGAATGTACTCGAGGCCGAACTGAAGGTCTCGTCGCTTCGAGTTGCTCATCATGGGATCCCAGATACAACCTGAGGAGGAAGATGAAGTCAGCGAGTTGTTGGCTGTCGTTCTTGATACCTCCTTCAACTCAGCTCTGATCAAGGAGAAAAATGTGGGCCAGTTGCTCGATGCCGTCGTCATATTTTCGAACGCTCATCTGATGAACTCGTCGAAAAACACATTGGCCGTGGTGGCCTGTCACCCGCATACTGCGAAGATGATCTATCCCGTGAAGAAGGACAGCATTCAGAACATCCGACCCCCCGACGCCCAGATGGAGATTCTCGCCCACGCAACGCAAGTCATCCGCGATGGAATCAAAGAGGTGGTGACTTCATGGCAGGGTGTCTACAGTATTGAGCCGCTGCTCACCGGGGGGATGGCTCTCGCTCTGTGTTACATTGCCAAGCGCATGGCAAATACCGTGGGGAAGCTTAACGGTCGCATCCTGGTCCTGAGCTCCTCCGGGGAGAGCGCTCACCAGTACCTCAATTTCATGAACGTATTCTTCGCCGCGCAACGTAAGGCCATCGTCGTCGACTCTTGTGTGATTCAGAACGACTGCGGTCTTCTGCAACAAGGCGCAGATATTACCGGAGGAAATTATCTCAAAGCCCCGTCGATCGCTGGTCTACTCGAGTACCTTTTATGGGTATTCCTACCGCCGAAGTCCCTTCGAGCGAAACTGGTTTTGCCGAAACCAGATGTCGTCGATTATCGGACAGCTTGCTTCTGTCATCGGAACCTCATCGAAGTCGGTTACGTGTGCTCAGTGTGCCTGTCAATTTTCTGCCAATTCGCTCCGATTTGTTCCACTTGTCAGACCCATTTTAAATTCATCGGATTCAAGCAATCGATGGTGAAGAAGAAGGAGCAGAAATCGTTGCAAGCACCACTATTGTGAAATATCACGTACCCATCACCAAAGACTGTTGTAAATAAACACATCCCTCCTCCGAGCAAAGCTTGACGTCAGTGAGTTTCAATCTGATTTTCGCGCTGAAGTTCATGGGAAGAGGGCAATTGAAGGCACTTGGAATCGCTGAAGCAGCCGAGGTTGTAGACGACGGATCGCACCCCGGGTATACGATTTCGGTGCGCCTACGGCGACATCCTGGAAAACGAACTTGGTCGAGCATCCTTATTCCCGTCCGTCGCCGACGGCAGAGTGCTCCAGAAAGAGAATTTCAGAACGGTCGCAATCCGAGGAATCGTCGGTCTGTTGTCAACTACTCTCTTCGATCAAAGACAAAAATTTTAATGGTTCTCGTCGATCGTCGGACAAAAGGTGTGGAATTCGGCGACCCCTATTCAGTACCTGAATATCACTTCGGATCGAGGAAAAATTCAGACTATTTGAATAAGTAGACCTTTCTTACATTCCTGCGGAACAAAACAGGCTCCTGTTCATTCTTCAAAGATGCGTGTCTCGAATCGAACTTACGGAATGGGGCATTCGGGGACCCCAAATAGCGTCGGTCGGCGTCAAGACGTCTACCGAGACCAGACTGCGTGGTGCCGCCAGATGGGGTCATCCCCTTTTTGAAGCGGCCGACTTGCCTGCTAAACTATTACCAAAGGGAATCTCTCAGACGCCCGCGGAGCTCCAACGGCTGCCCCGCAGCCAATTTTTGAGAGAGATGATCCGAAGGCGTCGGAATTCGTCAATGTTTCTTCCACCCTTCGAATGGAATCGATATTAATGAAGAGGAGTGAAATCGCGGGAAAAGCTGTCCATATTCCGCATACGAAAATATTTCCGGGTCGTCTCGGAAGTACCTAGGCACAAGACACAGGATGCCTCAGAAAGCGAATCGAACACTCCGGAGATCGGAAATGGAACCGGCATTCCGAAACGGTCTGTTCCCCGTAGACGGACACCCTCGGTGGATTATCGAGATAATCCGTTTATTTATTGATTGTTCCCGAGGAATGCGGCCACTTCTCAAGTGATAGCCGGACATTGGAGGCCTTCGGCACCACGCGGTCTGGGAGGATTCCTCTGAGGTCGACGCTGTTGTTGTCGCTGTTGTCACGGTCGTCGTTGACGTTGTTGTTGTTGCCGTTGTCCGTCCTACCGGTCGCAGAGCTATTTTGCTACGTTGACGACGACTGAGACTACGGCGGGCAAACTTCACAGCGCGACGGCGTCGGTAGAAACAAAGTGTGGGGCCCCTCGAGAGGTGAAGTGAAGTGAGGTGAGCCTTCGTGAGCTCCCTCTGAGATGATCTAATATTTTCTCTCTTTACTGACCGAAGAAGTATCGCCGCCGCCTCTCACACTTTCCTCGGATCAATAGCTCGTTTTGTAGCTCTTGCTTCAGTGGTGCCGAAACGGCGAAAACAAGGTATCCGAGCAATGTTATCACACCGTTTACCACGTTCGCCACGTTGCTTACCACAAGCAACAATATCCGGAGAGCGGACGTTGCAAATCGTTGGAGATCTGGGTGTCCGCGAAAGACAGAGACTACCGTTCGTGCGCGTTCTAGATGGGAGCCGCGGAATGAGTGCGCACGGGACGATATTTGCCCAATATCCTCCGGTAGGAAATTGGAACCATTCAATGTTCCACCGAAGGCATGCACACCTGCATCACGTGAACTGATTGGTTTCTCAGTATCGTACCACCTCCGTACGCGAGTTGACTTTGGCGGCATCCAACAAGTAATCACAGATCCCCCAGAGCAGGAATGTGTTCAACAGCAAATTGCTTGTAGCGTTTCGTACCCACAAAACTTTCCCCGCCTCTTCTTCATGCGATCATGTGAAACAGTCACTCTGACGTTCGCTGCTCGTTCGCATGTTGATTCGTCGTGTTCGTCATAGAGGTCGCCGCGGCTGCCGCGCAGTCGTCGCTCCTCATGTACCCCAATCCGACTGATTTCTGATGGACTCCTCTCAGCGTAACGTCCCGCTCGTGATCTACCAGCGGGACGACTTGTTCCGATCCGGTGACGCTCCTCAGTCAGAGGATCGACAAATTAGAAAGGAATCTCTGGAGCTCATTCGGCGGGCAACTTCAGGCGATTCTGATGCGCTTTCCTTGGATGAGCCGTGAGTTTCCCGGAGACACGATGGGCATTGTGGATATTTAGTCAGGTTAAACAAAACGCTGACCGACCGGCCAACCACGGAAGACAAGCTTTAGGCTCGGATCGTCGATTCCGCGGATGAACAAAACATATCCGTATTACGGAGGTGCGTCACGGAACGTGCGTTTAACGATCGTAGGAACAACAACGACGACACGAGAAAGAAAACGAGTCATCAATACTCTACCAGACTATGGCGATTTCTTCTCTTTTACGTTCGAAGCCACCCTCACAGCTGTGGAATGCAAATATTGAAGAATTCCTCTTTGTTCTCTCTGAGCAAAACACGCGACCGAAATAACTCTCGTGCACTCATTTTCGTTCCTCTTCATCTTGCCATCCGCCCTCCTCCCCTCGAGACGTTTGACCCCCAGAGAGAGAGATTCTAGTTCCGAAGGAACCGAGCAAGGAGAAGAATTCGCTCGAACGTGCAGGGATATACCTATGTATCCAATATTTCCGGAGGTTTCCGTGAGATGAGCAACACAGTTCCTTGCTCTCCTTCGATTTCGGTACCCTCACGTCGCATGTTTGGTATCGACCGAAAGAGATCAAACCGCGTCACTGACTCAGTGACTAACTCGCTCGGCCCCTTAATACGTGCCATTAGTTCGGCGAACGATCACAAGCAGGAGCTTCTGCCGTAGATATATACTGTCGAAGAAGACTGCTTGACGCCGCCGTGAGCAGGACTTCCCCGATCCGTCGACGCTCACTTCTGACTTGCGGCCCCGATCGAGTAGCTGTTCTTCATCGTCGTCGTCACCGTCGTTTTTTGTGTGCTTCTCCCCCTTCTCTTTTACGGCAGGTATTACCAGACATGGTGGAGTCTTCCTTGTGGTCTACGCTAGACAGCGTGGCGTCATTTGAGAATATCTGCCTCAACCTTATCGATTTCAGACCGCATCGGCGCGCTTCGCTCTACGATGCATTCGGACTCCGACGGCATCTCAGTTCCCGATGACCGTCACTTGCGTCCCTCCCCGCAGGTCGAGGATGCTTGTCGTGCGGAGGAGAATCCGTGGGCTGCGCCGTTCCCTACTCGGTGGCGTTGACGCAATTTCCGTTTGGAGCGAGCTCGAGGAAAGACCTAGCCAAAATCTCATGGGGAGATCCAAGGAGCGGGGAAGCTCGTTGATTGAAAGAGAAGCGCGGAATCGAAACTTTGAAAGGACAGAGGAATCCTACGGCGATACATCAAGATCGGCAGCGCGGTCAGTTCGATGCTCGATTTCTATTTGTGAAGCTTTTAGAGAAATGTCATTCTGAGATGAGTCGTCGTCCGCTCGGATGATCAGTCGACCCTTCTGTTGGTGGTTGCGTCGCCGACGAGCACTGCGTCTACTGGCCGGCCATCTTGAGCGGCGTCAAAAGAGCCATTAGTAGCCATCGATAGACGAGATGGAGAGAGATACACAAGAGGAGCAAAAGAAGAAAGACTCAGTCAATGTAGCGCTCTCTCGAGCCCTAAACGGTCAGCCCCTCCTTCCTGTTGTCCGGAGCGAAATTCCTCACCGTCGGTCGCTCGGCTGGCGGGACTTTTCTCTTGATTAAAGAAAACCACCACGTTCATCCTTTTCGTGTGGATAGATAGATAGATAGATATTGTATATGTATGTAGCCATACACTTGAACGGTCGATGAGATAGAGCAGAAAATAATAAACAGACCCTCGATTAAAGTAAGGGATGATGAGAGGAGAATCAGAAAGAGAGAGAGAGCAGAGCAAGAAGAGCGAGCCATCCTCGGAATTTTTCGGTAGGGGACAAGTCATTTGTCTCGAGCTCAGAACCAAGGACATCGGAGGAACGGAGTGCGCCGTCCTCAGCCCTAGTTCATCCCATTCTTCGAACTTTGCGAAGAAATCAACGATGACGCGAGCAGAGCCGGGCAGGACGAAATTATGCGCCCCTTTCGTGCTCCTCAGGACGCACTCTTGCTCACGTCTCCGCTCACTTCGACTGAACGGCGGAATTGAGTGTTGTAAATCGAACATGAGTGAGAGGCAGAACTTTCCGGCTCGGATATCAAAAGCGCCCAACTCTCGAACAATGCGCCATTCGACGTCTTCGCTTCTTTTTGAGAACGTTTCTTAAAATTTGGTCAAATTTGTAGCTGACCGGGTACTGTAAACGCCGCGCCGCCGCCGCCACCGCTGCGGCAGAAGCCGGCGGAGCTGTTGGCAGACGGAGCTTCGTGATGTGACGGTTGGGTCACGGCAGCTTAGGAACGGCTTTTGAACAACTTGTAAGGCGGTTTGAACGTTTGAGCATCGACGTTTACCCCGGGGATCCGTCACCATCAAGGGCCATGTCAAGAGCTGATGAAAGAGCCGAGCACCGAGGCTACTGAAGCCATCTCGGGCGGGAGACACTCTTCTGGCAACGGACAAACTGCTACCGGCAGCTTGGCAACAGACTCATCCATGACTTCATGAGTTCAGGAGCGGTCTTTTAACAACATCACACATCCCATCCTCTGCGCTATCATCGGTAGATCATAAAGGGCCGGGCAGTTCTACGTAAGAGTGCCCCGCGTTCCTGTGACGATCTCTCAGCCGACCCGAGGGTCCCAACTTCCCCGCCTCTCCTCTTCGTATCGATCTGGTCGAGTGCGCGATGAGCTCTCTCGGGAGTCTCGAGGGCCAGGAATCTTCCCTCGACCCTGTGAAATCAGACCTGGGATTGGAGAATATCTCCTAATCGAAAGGAAGGCCGCGGTCGAATAGCCCGAAGAAGCCGCACATCGCTTGGACATCCGTCTGTTTTGAGACGGAAGCCGCCTGCAATTAGCGCTCGATTTGTTTCCGTTCATGGAAAACGTTGCTGTTGTTGTTGTAGTCGTCGGTCCTTGTCGCCGCTGACGCTGTGACTGCTGCTTACATCATGAGCAGATGGTCGATTAGGATTGCCGCTTACGAGTATAGCATTTACAAAAGATCCACTCGGAGAAAACAGGGTGCGTTCACTGACTTATCCGCGGCTTCTCCTCAGTCTTTTGACCAGCTTACATGAATTCTGATTAGACGTCTCCCAGTCGACGAATTCGGAACAGTCTCTGCCCGCGAATGGCATCCGAATGACCTGACTGTCGAGGAGCTCAGGATCTGGTCACTTCGAAAGTCTCTTCAGCGCAGTTCGAGAGCAGTGAAGGGAGGAATCGGGACCCGGTATCGCCCATGACGATCTCAGAGGCCTTTTATTGGACATGAACTGTCGGGGGCGTTCGAATTTAGAATATCCAATTTGAGCGAATTTACAGAGAGATGCAACAACTTCTGTTTCATTTTCTTTGTCTTTTCATCGTAGGTGACACTCTCCAACGAAGTGCACAGCGGGCCATAAAGTCAAACAGAGGCTAGCTCGCACCGACCCGGCCGGCGCCTCAAGAAGAAGGCCCACATCGAAATTCAATAAGAAAAGAGAATTCCGCCTTTAAACTTTGCAAGAGACACACTCCGAATCGTAAATCAGGATGGTTTGTTTCTCAAGTCGAAGTTCTTGATCTCGATGTTCACACGGGGGACTTCTCGAGTGGGTACGAAGGATCACCGGAGCCTGTTGTCGTCGGCCAAGATGGATTGAGGGAGACCGGGTGGGAATGTCGCAGTGGATTCCCCACCTGGAGGTCTCACCGCAGAGCAAGAACAACACCGTAGGCGGGAGAAGCAATCCAGCAACGATAGAAGGCATTCCAATGAAATTAAACTCATTTGTTATTTGGTTCAGGAGTTGCTCCTGCGTCTCCAGCCTGCAGTTGCTGTACTCCTTGACCAATATTGCCCTTGCCTTCGTAATACAGTGCTGCGGGCAACGAGTCTGATCCTGCTCGTCCTGATCGCGATAAGCGATCACGTCGATGGACAAAATAACGGAAACCCGACATGGAATCGAAAGACGAATCAACCATGTTCGGTCTCCATCGAGCTTTTCCTCAGTGTCAATACATCGATAGCGTTTCTCTTCTCGCCAACAGTCCTCCCGAGCGAAAACTCAACTCGCGGAGCATTACATGAGCCCGAGACGCGGGAATAAACCATCTAGCATGATGATCCGATTGCTAGAGTCCGGTCTGGCACGCTGATGTCCAATTCGTGTGCATTCATGGGAGAAATATGAAAATAGTGCGTCACCCTTCTCAGTACTCAATGCTAGGGTCAGATATTATTTACCGATCAACTGTGTTTGTCTGGCCGACTTATTCAAATTTCTTCTCCTTTGTCGCAGCCCACATTCTTCTAGAAGTGATCGGATGAACTAGATGCTAGCGTGACGTTCGGTGCAGTATCCGTCGTTTCGCGGCAGGTGCAATCCATCCATAGCTCATCCTGCCTTCCGTCGACCCGTTCCACTCATATGAGCACCCATCCACTCACTAATCTGAAGCGACAGAACATTCAATTACGATGAGACGATCGTCTCAAATCGGCGCCCAAGTATTTCCCTCAAGTCGCGTTGTCCATCTTCATCGCATTTGCCTAATGATTTCACAAGGATGGATCTGCTCGAAGGCCCCATAACACACAACACCCCAAGCGACCCCACGCAGTGGTCGCCACGCCGAAATTCAAAACGATCGACGCATGTTGACGTTTCCCCGTTTTCAGTGTTTCGGATGGGACTCGTACGAAAGCGGACCGGACAGTTACGGTGGCTAGACACCGAAAAGCCGATCTGCGACGACAGAAGTTTTCTATCACGATTTTCGGACGCATATCCGGCTCTCGCTGACCACAACGAACCGATGCATGTAGACTAAAAAGCAATAAAAGTAAATATTGGTCCGCTCGAGTTTACTCATGCAAACACCGAGGCATTCGGTAATGGCGAGCCGGCGGCAATATGTCGATACTCTCTATATTTAAAGAAGTCGTTGAACGTTCGTGAGATATTTTGAAAGACAGCACTTTTTCTCGGGAATCACAAACTGCCCCTCGGCTCGTATACATGGCTATTTGCTCTCTCGGGAACAACCCCAGGAGGTGTGAACGAATACGCCTCCAAGTTCATTTCTGTTGCCGCCGAGCTCAGCCCCTTGATGCGAGGGTCCAAAAACGCACGTGTCAAATTTCGACGAACAGACCTGGCCGAGAGCACGCTGCCCTGTCTGTCACTTATCTATCTTTCTCTGAGAATATCCTTCAGTTAGGCTACCTCAACAAAAAAGCTTCTCGATGGAATTAAATTTTTTATCCTCTCTGGAACGGAACGCGCTCTGGTCGAGTTTCGCTCATCATATCATATTATTCGGTTTATTTCTCACGAGTCTATAACGAGCCCCAGCGATCTTCGGAGCTCGCTCGCAATGCAAAGTCCGAGTGTGATCGCGGTGACAGCCGTGACAGTCAAATAATCGACAGATTGGAAAATGATGAGCGTCCGGTTCGATAATTCTGTGTGAAGTGTTGCTCCTCTGAGAGCTTGCGGAAGGAATAATTGTCGAAAAGCCCGATAATTTCTTCATAATAATCTGGCCGACACGGGTGTCAGTTTTTGACGAAGCGGATCGTCGCTCAGCACAGACGTCGGCAACGGCTTCGGAACCGACATCAACACCGACGCTGCCGCCGTCGTCACCGATACCGACTCGTTCTACGTCACGTTGTGTACGTATCGTACGCTGATTCAGAGACAGATAGATCATAGTCCGAGCGATGTAAGCCGCTGCTGCAGTCGTTTGTTCGTTGGATTGTGCTGCTGCCGGCTGCTTCAAAGATGACATTCGGGCCCCTTAAGTGGACACTCAGAAACAAACGAGCGGAAAGCCTTCACACCTCGCTTTGCAGCGGCAGTTGTTGTTGTTGTCCAGTGTTGGTAGTGGTCGGTCGGCGCTGTTCATCGCCTTCGCCCGGTTATTCTCGCTCCTGATCCTCATGTCCGAGTCCTGCTTCTTTATCTCAATATTTCTGTTGCCCCGTATGCGGGTACTTCTCGAGATATTTTGATACGGCAAGTATGAGGACGATGTTGACGACGATCACGATGGCAATCATCACGAGCGTCGTCTTCGATAGATCCAAACGATCTCATGAGAAAACGCAACGACAAAACATAACTATGAGCGTCGAAATCGCCATTACTCAAACGTCCGCGGCAAACATCACGGGCTTTCCGAATCCTCCAGCAGGGCGGCGTCGACCCATGGAGACGGAGCGGAGACAACGGAACATGAAATCGGAACGACTTGACGTCGATAGAACACCAACGAGATCCTAGCTCAAGGTGCGAGCGGGCTTCGACGAGTGGGATCGTTGCGAAAACTACGATACGCTTTAACTAGAGGAGAGAGGCTCAAATCGGACAGTTTCACAGAATCCATGATCAACAGCTCCTGCTGGGAAGCTCGGTCAAAGTCAGGCTCGGTCCAAGCCGGCCGAACACCTCGGTCTTTTGATTTTTGGAGCTGCATGTGGTCGTCGCTCGTTGCTAATTCGCTTGCGCGCTCTCTTCGTCTCGGGCCGATCTCCGTCCAAGACTTGTGATCTCTACACGCCAAGTGATTCTCGTACAGGCACGGAGAAATCATGAGAGCCTACTTCCGGTCTTATGGAAAGACGAAGGGCTCTGCCCGCAGATCTCCGTATAAAGAAGCGCTCTCTTGCACCGCTGGAAAAGTTCTTGCCTCTCGGTCGACTTGATTCCCTTCAAGTACGAGAGTCGCCCAATCATTCAGTTCTAAGCCCTCCAGGCTCGGCTTTTCCCGCTTTCGGTCACCGTACCCGATCTTGAAGGTCGGGGCTATCCCTGGAGCGGCGCTACTACGCAAAAAAACGTTCGACACGGATTCACAGGAGAGATCGCCATCGGGAGACTCGAGAGACGGTCGCGATAATCTCAATCCTTGTGTCCCCGAGCCGCTGCCGCCGAGCTGGATCGAACTCCGTCGAACCGGGTGGATTGACCGGAATTAGCACCATCGAATGCAGAATCATCACTTCCCGAAATCTTTGAAGGTTCCTGACTGAAATCATTCCTCCCCAATTTCTAATGACCCACAGGTCTCGCCGTTTAGCTCGATTTTGGAGAGATAATGACTAAGCATGGAGTAGCGAGCCTCCGGGACGACTTTCGTTATCAATTGTTTGTCCGGATGATTGATGAATATATCGATCAATAGATTGGTCGATCGAATTCTTTCACACCTCAACGTTTGATGAGAGTGGCTCCGACGCCGTCATCGAGTCAAAAAAATCCCCAGTCGTTTCGGTTCTGGATTCGCCTCCCGCTCGATCATCTTTAGGTATGACTGGCAAAGGCAACCTGGCGTTTAGATCGTGCTTGAGGGTTTTTCGAGCGAAATTGCGTGAAATTGACTGTTTGTGTCGAGTCTACTTCTGTCACCACCACCGACACGACAAAACGCGGTTCGTTTCTTTGGAGGGTTCTCGTCCACCGCGGGTGACAGGAGAAGTCACGAGATCCCCCGGCTTCCCCGAGGGAAATATTTATTTATTCCGCTTCCCAATCCAGTCCGAGGCGCATAAATGATAACAATCGAAAGTATGACTCCATGTATCGGGCACTGTAGCGCTTTGCTCTGACGCAAGCTTGAAAATCAATATTGGAATCTCCGCCATATGTTCGGAGTCGCGTCGTCAGATTATCTTGCGGATTTTGTCTTATCGTTATCCTTGAGACCGTGCGAATTTCATTGCGAGGATAATTTGCGATAAGTCCTTCGCTCCAAGGAATGGTCTGATGTAAACTCGAGCCGCTCTACCCCGTCTACGTGGCCTGAACCCAATCCTTTAATCCTTGGAGACCGTCAAAAGGTTTCGGATTCGCTCGAAGACGTCATTCGACTGTTCCACCGATTGACAAGCGTTCGCGAGTTCTTGCTCATTGTGCAGAGTTGAGTTCGTCGACACTACAAATGAAGTTCGCGTTGATTATTGCGGCCGCTCTCGCTGCCGCTTCCGCTGTTCCCGTGTCCCGACAATCTGGGAGCGGCTATGCTATTTTGAATAAGGTTCAGGGATTGTTGGAGTCCCATCAGTACCTGGTTGACGACATCGGTACCGCGGGAGTGGGGAGTTCGCCGGAGTCCGTGCAGGAAGAAGCCGAATTCATCGACGAGCAGCTCCGAACCACCGTCGAGGCTGCGGCGCAGAATATCCGGTCTGACGAAGCTTCCGAAGACCAGGAAGCGGGAGCCTCAGAGGAAGAACGCCAGACAATTTCCGAAATCAGGAGCGCCATCGCCGACGCAACCGCGCAACTCGCGAAAATTGTGTGGGAGCTGGCTCAGGCCCACGGCGGCAAACTCTCGGATAGTCTCGCTCAGGCAAAACGAGACCTCACGAAACGTATCAAGGATCTCACGTTAGTTCCGACTCTTCATTGACGAATTTCCTTCATTGAATTCACGTGTATCACCCAGCATTCAATGAGATGTATGGATAATCCTGATTCTGATTCGCAGGGATGAGTTTCTGGTCAGACTGCGTGAATGGATGATTCCGGCCGACGACGTCCCAGTTTCCTACATTATCGACGAAGTGTTCGAGCAAATAGTTGCCCACCTGAAAGCTCAAATCTCGGATTCGCTCAGAGAAATATCCGACTGGCACAACCTGATGACAGAAGCTGGCCGAGAGAAGCTCGCGGCAGCCAAGCAGCGGCTGACAGAACTGTCGGAGAAGATCGCGGAAACGGTTCGTGAATGGCGAAAGGAAAAATCGTCGGATCCCTCGGAAAATCAGTCGCTGTATGGGATGGACCCGTTCTACGACGATGGCTCCATGCTGATGCTGATGGAAGTTCTGGAGGAGCTCGACGACGAACTCGCGGCTAAGGAGAGCGAGGCTTCGACGTCTGGTCTTAAGGCTGAGCGTAGTCTCGCCTACCATGTCGCAGAAGTGCGTGTTCAAACCGAGATGTTGCTTGCACACGTCAGGCAAATGATCAAAGACGTTCTGGGCGCAGATTTCGCTTCGAGCGTCCTCCTCAGATTAAGGAGATTACTCAACCTCAAGGTGCAAGAGCTCCAGGATCTCCAGAATCTGAATGAGGGAGGAGAAGATTCAGAACGCATCGCAAAACTAGAGGAAGAAATAATGGTGCTGCGTAAGAAAATTATCCAGACGATACGAGATGCGTTCCAAAGACCATCATAGCAGTTCCTTTCGACAAGCATAAAATGTTGATGCGGAAGCTCGACACGCAATAAAAATCGATAGAAGTCACTCCATTTGGTTCCTCCTCAATCAAGCCTAGAGTCCCGATTTGGGATACGTTATCTCGTTGTACGACTTCTCCACCGCGATCCAGAGATCTCCTTGCGTCGTTTCTCTCGCGCACCATCGATGGCTCCGATAATTGGAGACGTTGATTATCCATTCTGATCACCGATGTGAGAATGTTTACGCATCAGTCAATGGGATTTCCCGTATCGGGAGAAACGGCTCTTGGGAGTCAAGCGAGCTACCCGCAGCGCCGGTCGATCTCATCATGATTCGAGCTCAAGTTGTTGAATTTCCCATGGAGTGCTGCGAAAGTACAAGTTGTACCTGAAGCTTTCTTTGGGATCTCCATCGCGATCATGTGCGTTTTCTCAAAGAGATACACGCGTTTAGGCCCGAAGGCTCTGACGTCACCAGTCACTTTTGATAAGCCGTTGTCTTAGACCGCCGACGCCGTGCTATTGTCCAGGCGGCTCCTGTATTGTGTGCGACGTCGACGGTGTGCTTAACGAGTCAACGACCAATGACATCCATTGACACGCATACGCGAGACCTCTACAATCTTGTGAGATGGAGTTACAATTTAAGGGTCGCATGGCGTCGAGAGAGCGGAAAACTGACGGAATTCTCACGCTCAGTGATTTTTTTCCCGAAAACTGGGCTTCTATCGGTCTCATGCGCGATGTCGTTCAGAAGGATGAGTGGTGGCGAAATAAGTCAGGTGTTGCATGGGGGAATTTGCCTCAGCAGGTATGGCCATTCCTTCGTCAGGGGAGGTCGCCCTCGACCCTCCCCGAGCTCTTCTCCGACTTAATCTGGATCTGCGTTGTGACAAATCCTGAGCTCAAAAACCCTCGACAAGGAGTGCATGCTCTCACAATTACAGATGATATTGATTATAATCTTTTCCTCGTCCTATCGTTCTTGAATTTTCTCATGGATTATCCGCTCCACGAGAATTCTCATTGACGATGCGTGGCTCAAGTTCGCAACAGTTCATCATGACGCGAGAACGGAATGAAATTCGCGGCAGGCTCGACTCTGGCCAAACCGGTTTCCACTTAGAAGTACGCCATGGTGGGGGTTGTATGGAGCGAGTTTCAATTATTCTAACGTCTCGATCGGAGAAGCGTTTTTCCGCGGTCCGACGTCATTCGGAAATGATCAACTTCCACTACGATCACCCCTGCTTCCGTAACACTGTTTACGCGACCGCTGGTTCGGTAGTTCGGTAGCCATTTCGGATTCGATTCTCTGACCAAGCGCAACGATTCCGCGGCCAACAAATGTGTTGGAGATGGCGTGAAAACAGTTCAATCTTTGCTGTCTACTGGCAGAATTATATCAAGCGGGGTCGACCGAAGAGACTTTCCAGACCGAAGAGAGGTTTTCCTGATCAGTTCGTAGCTGCTGCTGCAGTGCTGTTGTTGACGTATGTATGTAGTTCTACGTCAAGAAAAATCGTCTCCGTCTATTTTCCCCGAAGTCGGCTTCGGTTTCCACGTCGAGACACAAGCCGCGCCGCGTTTGCTGCTGGGAATCGGAAATGCCACGATATGTCGATGATAACTTACCATGGAGGGAATTTTCTCGCATTCAACAGCCAACGGGATATGCATGCATCGTGCATCATGACCCCCACGAAAAGAGGTTTTCCACTGAAGTTTAGTCCCACTCTTGAGTACTCGCGCCTTAATTGGATGGGGACTGCGCCTTTTTCTCTGATAAGACCAATAACCCGCCACCCCCCTATTTCCTCGCACGGTAAACCCACACCTTCGCAAGAACCTGCCGAATGTCATGGTCTCAGGGTTTATTGGATCTGTCTACAGTCCACAGTATTACATAGTCAACCTATGAAGGCGCGATAAATCTCAGCGGATCCCGTCTTCCGATTTGGAGCTTGGATATTTATTCTAATCATCCTCATGTTCGATCTATTCCTCTACGGGCTTGTTGAGCTCCTCCTTGACTTTTTGCAGGATCTGCTCTTTGAGATCCTTGATTTGTTCTTTGGCAGTCTCGAGACCCGCCCTCAATTGTTCCTTCAGGAGCCCGTGGGCGACTTTGATCATCTCAACGTAGCCCTTGACTTGCTCGAGCTTCTCGTTCAATTTCTGTCGGAGTCCCTTGACGGTATCGACGATGTAATGATCATCTAGATCGTTTTCGAAGCTGTAGGTCAGTGGCTCCATTCCCATGATTTCCCGGACGGCGTTACGGAGGTCTTTGAGAGCAAGAGCAAGCTCGTCTCTAACTTCTCTGAGTTGACTCCCGAACTTGTCTCTCTGAGTTCCGACGGCGTCGCTTGCCTTCATGGTGAGCTCCCGTATTTTTTGGAGGAGGCCGTTAATTTTCGCTCGAATTGCGCTGGTCTCGGGGGAATACGCCTCGGCTCCGACAGTATACGATTCCCGCTCACCGTTGATGATTTCGGTCACGACTTGTTTGATCTCTTCACTGGAAGCCGGAGCGGTTTCGATTAGAATCAAGTCCCCTTTCCGAGTCTTACTGAGTTCAGGGATCCCGAACGTTCCAGTCTCGGCAAGCTTACTTGACTTTCTGAACTTGGTCCATGAGCCTCTGCTTCTGTTCCTCGAAACGAGTCTTTGCTTCTTCGGATATGACGGCGGCTTCTCGGCGGACTATTTCGGAGACTCGTTGGAGGATCTCCTTGGCCTTCTTGCGGTATTCACGTATCTTGGCGACGATCGCCTCCCTGAAGTAGGACTCGTCGTCTTTGCGAATAGCCGCTTTGATTACATCCAAAAGTTGCTGGACCTGAGCCCGGACCTCGTCGCTGATCCTGTCCAGTGACTTCTTGATTTCCTCCTTGGCTTCGTCGGTGGCTTTCCTCCACTGTTCGAGGAGTTCCAGGCGGCGCTTCTGCAGCTCATCGATTTTCTCCTGAATGTTACCTCTGATAGCATCGATAATATCCCGAACGGCACTGGAGATGTAGACTTCGTTCCCGATAGAGGGGGAAGCGTCGACTGAGGCCACAATGGCCAAACCGGCTATGAGTGCGACAACGAACTTCATCTGCAATGGAACTCGCTGAGACAGGAGCCGATATCGAGGGGCTTCATTCTATGTAGGAGTCGCAATTGAATTTCACCGATCCCAACTCACCTTGCTAGACAATGTTTCCGATCCAACTCGACACATTTTTATAGCTTGCGCAGCGTAGAGTTAGAGAAAGCGTGGCGGTCTTATCGTCTTGAAGAATATACGACGCTCCTGTACTAAGCAAGTGGCCCTGAAAATTCCGACCGCGTTCGGTCAAATGTGTTCTGATTGACTTATCTCGTTCCAATTGAAAGTCGATTCTCCCGGACTCCCATGATGACCATAAATCATTGGATCTCGCGGAATACAACGGCGCGAAACTTTAGAACGAGCGTCCGAGACCGGTGACCTTGCTTGGATGAAAGAGAAGGTCGAGAAAACCATCCGTACCCTCGAACAGTTGCCCATGGAGGGCATGCTTTTGGTAACGTGCTTCTCAGGCAAGGATGGAAAGCCGGGCCGAAGCACTTTCGGACGCGAAAGTAGATTTAACCTGATGGGAGAATCTTACAAGGCTCTCCTAATGTGAACAGTTTAACGATTGAAGCAACATGACCATATTTGGGCGGATGGTGCGCCTCTATCGGTAGTAATTGTCCCGTGGAACAGACCAATGTTTTTGCCCTATCAATTGATTGCGTGTTCGCATATATGGCCTCGACGAGTCGAAATCTGTGCGCTCCCCCAAATCGTGGAGACGCGCGCCAATATCCGCTATACTTGTCTGGGTGTATAACGAGAATCGTTCTCTGAATTGGCAAGGCTCGGGCTTGCGATCGCCAGACCTCGCCAGACAAGAATAAAGTGAAGCTCGCGTCGGGACCTCTGAACCTGCTAGCCGCTGCTCTCTTCTCGTTCGAGAAGCATAGGTTCTCTCTTGAGTGGCCAGATCGGTTTCAGCGGGCTGGTGCACAGCCTCAGTCAGCATACTCTCAGTGCACTTGAACTCGACCACCGACAAGAGTACGTATCTTTCATCTAGTGCACGATGTTTTGATGGAACTTCTGACCCGCTCGATCCGGTTCTCGCTCATGACGGAAAATGGTTCGAGCTTGTCACTCCTCTCCATGATTGATCCCCTAAAAAACCTGGAAGGTGGGGATCACCTGTCAGTGACCCCCGAGCTTGCGAGGCGAAAGCTGTGATGTTCGTGTCTTGAGTGAAAAGATTTCCGGGAAACGAATTCGGTCCCGAGGCGGATTAGGCATGGGAACCGCTCGGAATCCCTAAATGACAGCGTTGGGGGCGAGTTTTTTCTACTCGGAGATCGAAAGCTCCCATCTTCCACTATAGATGCACGCTAGACACTATCTAGCCATTCGTTCCTTTAGAAACCTGTGACCGCGAGAGTCTTCGATCTGATGCGCACACATTCTCAGATGGACAGTGTTCCGGACTGCAAGTTGGATTCGGGGCGTAACCGTTACGTGCTCATCAAGATCTACGTGAACAACGATGAAGAAAACGGAAGATACATCGTGCGAGGCTCTTCTCTCGCGCCCGACCACAAAACAATTTTCGAGGGTGAAGAAGAAGCCTTAAAGAAGTTGGGTGAGTTCGAACAATACGATCGCTTGTTCACAACCTGAGCGCTTCCGAACCGAGTAAAAATAAGCTTACATATGAGCATTCATCCCGCTCGCTTCACCGCTCTTGTCGATCGCAATATTCACGAAAGCGCCGAGGCGGGCTCGATTTCCGGAAAACGAGAAAGTGAGCAACGAGAGATATGATATAGGTAGTTGATAACCATTTCATCAGAAGGCCCGGAGACTGCCGAAACCTGCGCTAGAGAGTGATTCGAGCGGATCGACTCCGATTTCGATTTCTGATGCATCGAGGGCGTACCTTTATCGAAATGAGGTCTTGAACTACGATTTCCCCCATTTGCAGGAGTCGAGTGCGACTGTTGCGGTGGCGGATACGTGGTTCTCACACCGGAGGATAAGGAAGTCAGGGTGAGTAAACACCGAGCTCATCTGCTCAAGTGCGGAGCTCGCGTCCGGAGCTCACCGGCACTTTTTTCACTCGTGTCGGCCAGCGCAATGACCTCGAAGCAGAGATGATGAACTTCATGAATGATGAGCTCTTGGCGCGCGATGAAGGCTGTATGCGGATGAAATCTACTGCGGTCCGAGCGCGCCCCAGAGAACCGAATAGACGCAAGTCGAAGCGCACTTGAGAGATCATATCCTCTGCCTTGTGCGTTCGATGAGGAGTTCAGTCTCGCGGAACATGAATTCATATTTTCCAGGTATTCGGCATCTCTCAGTTCTTTGGCATGGCTGATCACTCGAAGGCCGTCGCTATTTTGGAAAAGAAATACCCAGGCCACTCAGTCTCGGCTTCTAACGAGGTCACCGATCAAAAGATTAACCGGAGCTCGATTCGGCCCGACAAGATGCCCTGAGCTCCTGGAACATCGAGAAGTCCACTAACAACGGATTCTACCCCGACAATAAAACGTCATGTTTGGTAATGATGAGCATTCTCTATCCATAAGAACGCTCTGAATTGAGAACATCCTCTGGGAGGATGCCTTGCATGCTTTCTGTATCTCGTCCTAATGCACGTGCATCCATCAAATGCCACGCGAGCGAATGTGCACAGAGTCTTTTGTTTCGTCCGGATGTCGACCGAACAATGCTCACCCTTCCACAAATGTTTAAGTAAAAAGCTCGCTCGGTAGCCGTGTCCTTTCGAAGAACGGAAACACAATTCATTTCGACCCTCTCCACAAGCTCGCTAAGACTCAAAAAACAGGATCTTTATTCCTTCCTGTGGACATATCTCTATCGCGACTCCTGCTGTTAAAAAAAATTACGCAGAACGCCGGCTCTCGGAGCCAGTCCTGGGGCAGTGCGGCACCCTCACTAAGCGTAAGAGCGATTCCAGATAAACCGATTTTCGAAAATGAACTCTAAATAAGCTTTTCCCTCGTGACCCATGGGTAAGGCAACGCCGAGCTCTCTCGTCCCTGCAAATGTATGTGAGGATATTTCTAGTGTTTTTCCGCTCACGAAATTCTTTAAGGTCAACGTCGGTGAATCGATGACCTCATCTTGATGCAGAGCATCTGTTGAGTCTAAGGAGAGGCGAGGGCGCTCTCGTCGGAGCTCTACGTCACAGCACTTCCTTCGCTCTGAAGGTTTCACATATGGGTAGATTCTCAATAGAATGACATTCTTCGACTGCGATGGATCGTTGTGCTGCGGTCAGTATCATGATAGCCTATTGATTCAACGAGATGGAGGCGTAGAAAGGTTGTAATACCAACACGGGACTTCCGAGTAGCGATGCGAAATCCCGGACCAGGCCACATCAGCCGGGACTTTTCTAATTGAGTTTCTGGTCCAGGGAAGGCGAATGCTTCTCCACGAACATCCTGGCCTTACTGAAAGAACGCAATACCAGAGTGAGAAAGGCCTGAGAATCGGAATCATAGTCTGTTCCGCGAGTGAAGCATGAACACTACCCATCTCCTTCGAGATAGTTCATGCGTCGTGAGAAATGTCCGAGAGCATTAACGCTCATCTCGGGCACACAACGGGACACTATGTTCGGGAGATCAGAACAATCCTGCTCTTCCAAGAGTCGGAATCCTGTTCGCTCTTACTTTGAGGGGGCCGAATTCCGTTGTCTGGAAGCGTATGGAACCAGCTTATCTCTGAGTCTCCCGTCGCGACGATTTCCAAGGTTTCGCGGATGTCGTGGCAGATTGCAAGTGCCCTGATCTCCAGCCACTGCAATCCGCTTGACTCAATCGACTTCGGCAGCAATGCGATGCATCCTTATCTGAATCTGGACTGGTCCCTGCTGAGAATGTTCTTCCCCACGATGAGCTGCGAGATTGCCCTGTCCTTGATTTTTCGATTGCCTCGCTGAGGATCGGAAGCAGGGAGATGGGGCGGTCGCCTTTCACGGGCACCGCGGGACGAAGTTTCAGTTCAGGATAGAGCTCTCATTCTCCACGATGGCAGAGCGGCATCCCGGCAGGGCGGCTTAAAAATCGGAGACTGCTTCGGGATTCCCGGATTGGACTGATCTATGGGACTCCAGAAATTCACCTCTCCTCGGATGTGTCAGAAAATTCTGCGCTCCAGTGAGGCTCGAGGGATGGGTACATCACCGCCGCAACTCCAAAGCAAGCGTAGGTGCAATGTGTGTGTATCCGTCGAATACTGGGCGGCATCGCTCTACGAAATTCTGACCTCCCACCGGAAACCGGAAGATGCTCAGTCTTCCGCAGATCTCCGAGTAAAAATCTCGAGTCTGTTTCGTTGCGCTGTTCTCCCGGTCGACAGAAGCGTGATCGATTCATACCCTTGGCATCTCCCCGCTTAATTTGCCTGGAGAACAAGCTGATACGCGGTTCGGGGGCATCAGGGAGATTCTTTCCTCGGAGGCATTCGCTGTGGGATTCCTCGAGTGTCATTATGATCATTCACTTCGAATATGGGTCTTTGGATGTGCAGAGGAGCGGCTTGATAAAGCGGATTCCATCAATATGGACATTCACTAAGAGTTTTGTTCAATAATCCAGTAACCTTGTTGACTCGGTGACAACACGGAAAATTCGCCAATTCAGTGGGACGCAAGACGCGAGGGAGAATTCGGATTCCCCTCTGTGAGCCTTCAGAAGTTTCGTCGATTATCAGAAGTTTTGTCGATCCTTGCCTCATCCATATACAGGGCATGCCCTCGTGGAATTCTTATCAATTTCGTCATTGTCTTAATGGAATGAAGGTGCATTTTGAAAAAAAAAAGCCTCACAACTCTCATTTTTCCAACTCATCCCGAACGTGCTCGTGTTCTCTCTTCTATTTCTCCTCAAAAAGCGAGTCAAATCAGGCTTGATGAGCATGGAAGAGTTCATCGCAGGCGGCTTCGCTCGCAGAGCCTTTCGCTCTTTTTGGCGTTTCATTGAAGATCAGGATCTCTCCCGATTTCGAATAGTCTGGCCACTCGACGCCGCGGAAATTCGGGTTCTCGTCGTGTTTTGCGAAGCTTGCGATCATATTCATGGCATCCAACGAGAATCTCTGGTCTCCTCCATCAATCGGTCCGTCGGCGTCGTCCAGGAATAATGCGCCCGAGAAGTGCAAGTAAGGAGAGAAATGATGAGCGCCGAGAAGTGACGGATCGAAAATTTTGAAATGAGTATCCTTGAGTCTTCGATCAAATCGATAAGCGAATACCTTATCGCTATGGCGAGAATAGTTTTTGATGAAACTATTGATTGGACAGGCGAATATACCATCACCCGCGAAAGCAGCCGCAGCTTTCCAGGAATTTCCCGAGTTCTCGTCCACATAGATTCTCCCGATTTTCTCCCTTATCTCGGATTGAGTCGCGTTCAATGGGAAATCGAATTTTTGACCGATGGCAGCGCAATAGTCTACTATTTCATCCTTCGTATGGTCAATCGTGAAATTGAAGTTTCGGTCCGCAAGGCTCACAAACATGGTCCCCTCATCACGCGCGTGACCGATGATCATGGGAATTTTACGTAGACTTGGGGATTCTTGTGCTAGAAACTCTCCGATGTCTTTCGGTAAGAAAACACCATCGGTCGTCGGAACGAATGAGGTGATTCCACCCAAACCGGTCGTTTCAGTTGAATTCGCGAGTAGATAATGAGCTGGAACATTCCTGAGACAGGCTAGGATCTCATCCGGGGCGTCTGGGCATCCTACAATCTCTGCGATTTTCCTGACTCTGGCGAAACTGCTCTCGGAGCTCTCGAAGAACCCATTGCTATTCACAACTCCGGCGTCCAGCACGGCTGCTCGGAACAGGTGCTCCCTGTCTACGATCGTTATTATCTGTGCTGCGATGGACATCGAACCAGCACTGCCCCCCATGACGGTGACCTTCTTCGGGTCGCCTCCGAAAGCTGCGATGTTTCTCTGGATCCATTGGAGCGCCAGACGCTGATCCTGCAGACCCAAGTTTCCGGGAGCAATCTCCTGCATGTCTGCGAAGCCGAATATACCGAGCCGATAATTGAGGCTGACGACGATCAAATCACCCAATCCTGCCTGGGGTTCTGCGCTCTGGAAGACGTCTGCGGAAGATCCCACGATGTATCCACCGCCATGAATTATCGCCAAGACCTTGGAATATAATGAAAATTCGAGATTAGTATTCGCTCCCGTCATTGGGCCGCGACCGCACCAACGGGAACGGGGCCTCTACGTCGGAACCAGCACGAAACGGTGCATTAGCCGCGAAGAGGAAACATCACGAGTCACAAGATACAGGAGGAAAAATTTAAGACTGACCGCTTTCTTATCGTCTTTTTTCGTTCCACTCTTCCGATAGACGTTGAGGTACAGACAATCCTCTTCGACGGAATACCGACCCAAGGGACACATTTTGAGTTGCGGGCATAGTGGCGGTAGCTCGGTGGCTTGAAAGTTTCCGACAGATCCAAAGGGTTGAGGCTTCGCAAACCTGAGCTCTCCGAGGGGGGGCTTCGCGTACGGGATCCCGAGGAAGGCTTCGATCTCTGTATCGAGTATCTTGTCGATTTTTCCGGAAATTCTCCCCACTTCTCCCTCGACGACGGGATTTGCAGAGACGAGCCCCAGGAGGAAACACACTAGAACCACTGCTGTGTCCATGGCGAATAGAACGCCTTCACCAACGGCAGCGTATTTGAGCTAGGAGGATCGAGAGCACCTTGCTCGAGTGGTTTAGAAGCGTCAAAACACTTGACTTCTAGCATCGATGCAGTCAGGCCGCATTCAGCGCTTATTTAGAGGACAAGCCTCATCATCCGATGCAAGCGCCACCAGACGAGCCGGCCCCACGTCATCGGGCCATTGAGTCCAGTCGTCGGCAAAAGGCGGCCCGAAGCGAATTAATACCCGACGTTACTGAACAGCGAATCTCATCGAGCAACCGTCGGTCGTTTTCTTGAAGACTTTGAACAAGTGGCAATAAGCACAGCCAGGATCCCAGCGAAAACATACGGAGCAAGCGAAATCCAGAGGAGAATGCGAGCCACGGTGGCTGAGTCGATCGCGATGTGCGCTTCGCCAATCCGGGCGCCCAAAGCTCTCGCCTTCAAGGAATATAGAGACCTGATCGAGAAAAGTCAGAGAGTCATGGCTATCCGCATCATCGGAGCCTACAAGACGATCTCGGCGGAGGCCGCCCTCGCTTAGTCGCGGGCGACTCCTTGGAGTTTGCTTGCCGCCAAAAGAACTGGCTCTACGAAGAAAAGAGCAAACGGAGTCGCCAAAATGGCCAAAACGCCGTCGACACGGAATTCACAGGGGAAAGAGATATCAGGGAGCGCACAGTGCTAGCGTGGCAGAACAAATGGGAAGACTCCACGACAGGCCGGTGGTCACACAGCTGCATACCTGAGCTGAGCAGGTGGCTCAGACGAAAGCACGAGGAGCTCACCTACTACACGACACAGGTGTTCTCTGGACATAGCGATTTCATGGAGTACCCGGCCGCGAGGAAAGTCGCACCAACCGAAGACTGCACCAGACACCCTCGCGGCGAAATAGTCGAGGTACACCATACGGTTCTCGAGTGCCCAGAATTCGCCTCGCAGAGACAGAGGATGACATCCCGAACGGTGCCAGAGATCCTGTATCAGATGCTAGCGAGCGGAGCAGAGTGGGAGCGCAACACGCGGATTCTAGATGATATCATGAGAAGGAAGGAAACCATCAATAGGAGGAAATAGTGAAAACCCTGTGCCGACCCGGCTCTTCCTGCAATGAAGAAGTGGAAATGGCAAGACGAGAGACCGATAGAGCCTGGAGCTACACGACAAGGAGACCGGAGGAAATAATCGGGGACGGCGGCTCCGGCCCTTTCCCAGTTCCCGGTTTCCTGTGCTCAGTTCGCATGCATTCCTTCAATGAAGAAATAAGAAAAAAAAACGCCGGTCGTTATGCTCCGTTGAAATTCGGGCGTGGGAAGAGGATTTCGTACCTTTGTCATCACAGTCATGGCTTTCCTCTACATGCATCATCGTGGGATGCCTCTGCATCGCTCACACTCAATTTCAAGTCTGAGCCGAAACGCTTAGCATCCTGGTCATAGTGGAGCATGGTCCGCGGCAATGACAACAGAACGCCCAAAAGGATGAGGGAGCTTCCTGGAGCAACTTGAGGGCTCCCCTTTCTTTCCGCGGGACGGATACGACTCGCTCTCGATCTTGCTTCGGGTGGTCTTGGCAGATCTTCACTCAATTGCGATTAGCTCTCGTATGAACGGTTTTTAACCCCAATAGGAGTGTCAGCGATCGGATGGCGAGAAATATTAGTCGAAGGAAGTTGCTGGCTTGGAGAATGCGGAGACAAATATAGTGTTGCGGTGGAGAGTTTCTTCGAGAATGGTGACCATTGAGAGAGACTGAGGGCACCGGTGTCCAAAACCCTCCTGAGTCTCGGGGTTCTGGGAAGCCCGGAGCCGAGCGGGATTTCTGCCAGGAAGAGTCGGGGAAACATTCGGATGACTCTGCTTCACCTACTGCATGAAGATCCCCGTAGGCAGTGCCCGCTGCTTTGCTGGATATGCGGACGGGCTCCACGATATCCAATGTCCGGGAGCGAGCAGAGAGAGGAGAAGAGGAGGCGGAGGAGTCCTTACACCTGATTCGATATTCTGAGTTGGGATGGGATTCTCAGAAGGGAGTAGAGGGTTTGAGCGAATTAACGCCTTCCGATGGCAACAATTTCTAACACAGAAGAATGCCTATATTTTACAGTTCGGTTCTCAGTTTTATGTTGCTGCTTTTCTTCGGTAGCGCGTTGTTCGACGATTGAAACAACGCTCGACAATTGTGTTCACTCGGGAGTCCATCTCTCACCCACGGGGTTTCATGTAAGTAGAGAACTTCCTCAGATTCTGCGAAGCGTGGCCATTTCAATCCCCTGAATTCGATTGGTTCGACTGCTTTTGCGAACCTCGAGATCAGGTCAATCGATTCGAGGATGAAAGTTCGATCATCCGGATGAAGAGGCTCAGGCCCCAAGAATAGAGATCCGCAAAAATGCAAGAAGGGCGATAGATGGAAAGCTCCGAGGATGTTGGGATCGAGAATCTTCGCGTAAACAGATTTGAGTTCCCGTTCGAACTGATACACGTAAACTTCCTCGTTGTATTGAGTATAGCTTCGAATGAAATTATTGATTGAGCATTTGAAAATTCCATCGGACTGTAAGGAGGCGATGGCTGCGAGAGAATCATTCGGATGCCTCTCGATGTACAGACGGCTCAAAAGTTCTCTAGTCTTCTCTTCCCCAAAGTTCAGCGGATAGTCGTAGTTTTGAGAGAGCAGCTCCATGTAGGCCATGACTTCGTCTGTCGACTCCGGGTTCGGATGATCTTTCGCCATGAATTTGCTGCTGACGAAAAAAGAGCCTTCATCTCTCGCGTACCCAATGATGGTTCGAACCTTTCGAAGATTGGATGAATTCTCCCGGACGTAGTCCTCGACCTCGCGAGGAATGAAGTCTCCGTCTAGTGTCGCCACGAAATACGAAATCCCGTTATCGCCGGTTGTATTCAACGAAAAGGCAATCAGACGTTCTGCTTCGATTTTCCGGAGACAATCCACCATTTCCAAGGAATGCAAGGGACAGCCGACTTGTTCCGCAATCTTCGTGAGTCTCGAGTAACTACTATCAGAATCCTCATGGAAGCCGTTGCTCGCCACGACTCCAGCGTCCATAACGACGGAGCTGAATAGATTCCTCTCGTCGATTGGCGTGATGATCTGAGCTGCTATCGACATGGACCCCGCGCTCACTCCCATAACCGTGACCCGTCCAGGATCTCCACCGAAATCCGCTATATAATCCTGAACCCACTCCAGGGCCAAGCGCTGATCGCGCAGGCCCAAGTTGCCCGGGGCGAACTCCTTCATATCAGCGAAACCGAGAATTCCGAGCCGATAATTCAGACTGACCACGACCACATCTCCTAATCCTGCGAGAGCGGCCGTATTCTGCAGAGGATCAGATGAAGATCCGGCTACGAAGCCGCCGCCGTGGAGGGTCACGATCACCTTGAATTATTCGCTCCCGTTGAGAGTAGGTATGATCCTCGAGCTCCGATCAGGAGCCAGGAATGTGACTAGGAACTCAGAAGACCACGGCGGATACTCACAGCTTTTTTGTCGTTCACATTCGTACCCTGTCTCCGAAAAACATTCAAACGTAAACAATCCTCGCTGAGTTTCCTGTTCTCCGGTGCTAGCGGCCCCGAGCTGGGCTGAAGACAGGATGGTCCATATTCGGTGGCTTCGACTTCGCCGACGGCTCCAAACGCTCTCGGCAGCGCGAATCGGTGCTCACCCACAGGCGGCTCAGCGTACGGTATTCCGAGGAAGAACTCGATGTCTACATCGAGAACTCTCTGAATCCGCCCGCTTATCCGTCCGAGTTTGCCAACGACGATTGGTTTGCCTGAGAGACCGACAATGAAACAGCACAGCAGAATTAGGAGCTCCATCACTTGAGCGGAATAATTCGCCATGGCGTCTCCTGGAGTCGCTTTTGAGGCCCATCAATCTGCCAGGAGAGAGGAATTCGGTCGAAATGTGATAGCCCTCGTCAAAATATCAAAATACCCTTCGGTCTTACGAGCTCGTTTCTATTTGCTCGATAGAATACGCCATCCCTCTCCACCGCGTTTCGCACAGATCGACTCCTTGTCCGGTCCCGGGCATTGGGCGATCAAGAATGGGTAGAGATCTGGGAATCTCTCTAAAAATCCGTGATCGAATTCTCTCCGGCACAACTTGATTCACCAGAGCAGTTTATTGATGAGCGCGCTCAGTCGACAATGATGAATTAGATATCTTTCGTCAAGTATTCAGTATTTCCCACCTGCCCCAAAAATTACAATATTCCCTGAAGCCCGGGGATCTTCACATCGTCGGTGATGCTAATTGATCTTCATCCACACCTTCCCTGTCTTGTAGGGTGGGGTGAAAACCTCATCACAAATGCTTCTTCTCAGCAGTCCCCCGCGCAGCCTGGGTTCGTCCCTTATGACGAGAACCTTGCCGGTTTCGGCAAAACTCGGCCATTCTAAGTCTCGGAATCTCGGATTGCTCTCCTGGTCTGCTACGAAGTCGGTTATCATCTTCATCGTATCCAACATGAAGCGTCTGTCTTCCGGCGCCATGTCGCCAGGCTTAACGTACAGGAACAAGGAGCCTACGAAATGTTGAAAAGGACTGGTGTGGAAAACCCCGAGGTCTTCCATTTCGGGGAGGTAATTCTTCGAGAATTTTCGCTCGAAATGATAGACGAAAACTTCGGATGTCCTGCGGCATAATTGCTTAATGAAATTATTCGTGGGGCACTTGACAACACCATCACCTTGGAAAGTAACTACGGCACGCCGAGGCCATTTCTCGTGTCTCGCGGCGTAAATCTCTTTGACCGTATCCTTCGTCAAACGATCACGGACATCAAGAGGGTAATTGTACGCGTCCGAGAGCTTCAAACAATAGTTAGTTATTTCGTCTTCTGTTTTGTCTTCGGTAAAATTGAAGGTCGATTTGGTGTAATTCGTGAATAATGTTCCCTCGTCTTCAGCGAAACCGATCATTAGGCGAACTTTCTTGAGTAAGACGTTGTTATCATCGATGAAAGCGTCCGGTCTCGTCGGTATGATGAAGCCATCTGCGGTTGGAACGAAGGCGGCCAAGCCGTTCGCGGGCATATATTCCTCGGAGAGTGATATCAAATCTTCGAGATCCGAGTCCTGGAGGCATTCGATCATGTCGCGAGAATTGAGTGGGCATCCCAAGTCGTACGCAATTTTGCTTATCCGTCGGAAACTCGATGTCGTGTCTTCCAAGAGTGCGTTACTCGAGAGCACGCCACCATCCAATATCGCAGTGTGAAAGAAGTCTCTGTTGTCAACGAACGACATGATGTGCGCGACGATGGACATCGATCCTGCGCCGGTCCCCATTACAGTGACATCGTTGGCGTTCCCTCCGAATTCGCCGATGTTCTCCTTGACCCAGGCTAGAGCTGCTCGTTGATCGTGGAGTCCGAGATTCGCCGGCGCGAATTCTTTGAGATCAGCGAAACCGAGGACTCCGAGTCGGTAGTTGAAGGTGACCAAGATGACATCACCTGCCGCCACAAGAGCTTCGGGATTCTGGTGCGGGTCCGCCGATGTGCCGTGACTGAATCCTCCGGGTTGAAGGAACAAGCCGCCGTGAAATATGACGAGAACCTGACGGTCAAGGAGGGGAAAAAATTATTTCTAGCAAGAAATATCTTTCGTTTTGACTCTCCTGAGATCCGTACAGCCCGAGCAGCTCAAACCCATTGAGGCTCGATGGAATACTCACGGCTTTCTGATCGTTCAAATTTGTTCCCCGTCGTCTGAAAATGTTCAGATACAGACAGTCTTCGCTTTGCGATATATTGCTCGCTTGGGCGAGAGACCCGACGATTTGAGGACATGCGGGCGGATAGGCTGTGCCGTTCAGCTTCAACTCCGGGAAGAGACCGTATTCTTGCGGTTTCTCGTAGCGGAGCAATCCCACGGGAGGTTCCACGTACGGGATCGAGAGGAAGGATTCCATGTCCACATCGAGAATCCTGGTATACACCCCGACGATCGTTCCGCGAGAAGTCGTCACTTCTGGATTGCACGTGACGGCGACGAAAAAGTAACACAAAAGTCCGAAACGCATCATTCTCGTCTTATATTCGAAACTAGAGGAGAAGCGTAAAGTTGAAAATCACGGCTCTTCGAGGGGAGCAAGGAACGTAGTCATTCGCATATCACCGCGTCATCGGACCTATCACTTGACTTTCGGCCTTTCTGCCTGACGATGGCACTGACCCTTCATTTGCCGCCTCCACGGACGGGTCCGAGTCTGCTGCGCTAGAGACCTCCCAATGGTGGAATACGTCACGCTAAGCTGATCGCTATTGTATCCCAAAGTATCATGAAAAAGTAAAGAAGTTTTCCCGGACCTACATCCAGTATATGGCGGTCGATTTCTCTCTCTCTCTCTTTCGAGTTTGACTCATGCGAAGCTTGTGGAGTACCTTTCCCGGGAAGTCTCGGTTCTAAGGTGCGACACAGGATACGGGAAGACGTAGTCAAGGCTCGCAGTCCAAGTTTCTCTTCGGGAGACCTAGATAATTGCGGAAGCCCGGCCATAATCGATGATTCGTTCCAGGGACTCCCCTGTCGCTCCAGGTAAGCCTGCCGAGGCTCAGCAGATGCAGAATCATGGTGATGCCCATAATGATGAGCCGACCGCCCGGTTCGAGGCACTCGATATTGGCGAGATATGCACGTCCTGAAACATGCGACGTGTCTCGTCAACATGATTCTTGCGTGAAAGCCATTCGTTATCTTGGCTCCATATATTGTGCGTTCATATCTCTCCCTCGACTTTCCTCCGGTCGGCATATCATCGATTCCGCCGACGCTTGCGTTCCTCGCTCTGAATCCAAATCCTCCGCGAGAATTTCCCAACGTGACGATCGAATTATGTTGGCCCTCCAAGGAGACGTTCGCAAAATTATTTTATGAGCTCGTCGCCCAATTCATACCCGATTTCCTCCGGCAGGCTACCGCCGATAGGGCAGTCATGGATCATGAATATCTATGCAAGCAAACGGTGAAGCTATCAGTAATGGTAGCCCCCGCATCAATTCCGACGCGAAACTTGACTGCTTCAGTTCGCGCTTCCGAGAAGACCCAAAATCGAATTTACGCCGCGCTGCCGTTTCGTGAGAACTCTCAGCGAAGGACGGGAAAGTTGAGATGCCTAAAATGTCACCAGGTTCGATGGCTTTTGAGCTCGAGCAAATATCAAACTGAGCGTGGAACGGCTCTCACATCCCATCTTTGCAGTGAACCTGTATCATTCCGAAGTCATCGACCAGCTCCACGACCGGCCCCGAAGAGCACACGGGTGGGCGGCTTTCCTTAGCCTTATCGCGCCGTGGAGAGTCTCAAGAATCATAGCTACTCACTTCGGAGTTTACTTTTGATCGAATTGAGCCTTGCAGGGTCACTATGCTCCAGGCTGTAAATCACTCGCGTAAATACGTCGAGATTTGATGACGGACGCTCCGACATAATTTACTCAAGCGACCTCTGCTAAAAATGGCCCCTCGACGGAAGAATAACTCGGTTGACATTTCCTTGTTTTGTCGCCGCCGAATCCCCAGAGGCTCGTGAAAGGTCGATCCTGTCCTATCAATTTGTGAGGCTTCCGTGGCGCTCCATGGTGCGGGATTCTGAACGAAGTGCTCAGTATCATGACATTCCATCGCAGAGCTTGAGCAGAGCTGCGTCCGGTGAATTCCTTGCCTTATTTTCAGCCAGGCTTCTCGAAGAAGCTGCGCCTTTCAACCACATGAGTTTCGTGAGCCTCACCAACTTAGGCAGGTAGGATTCGGATCGACGCATTGTCCTCAGGCCTCAATCCAGAATCGGGGAGACCCGGTAGGAAATAAAAGAGAAGAAATTCGTGGATAGCTTCCTTGGTCGAGGGCTTGGTATGTATTCAACTGCTTACAGCTTATCGGGCGCTCGAACTGAAATCGGTGAATATCGTCATTGTTTCGCGCATGTCCCTAACAATGTAGACGGGATCATTCGTGGGGTACACCCTCTGCGCGCCCGAAGCTAATCGCGAAAACCAAGAAACGGTTGTGGATAATAATCATTGATATAATGCGTCGTTAGCTCTTGCTGCGTTCGGGAATCGTCGAGTGAGATCGGGAGGCCCTTGTATGCACCGAAATCCCCGGACTGTCTATGAACTCCTCTTCGCTTGCACTGTCCGGGATAGCCCCACCGTCTCTAACTGAGAAGTCCGCTGGATACCTTGTGGGCGATGCAGATATTTTGTCCAACTTGCAACAATGAGCTGCATCCTATTCAATTTCAGCGTGGACGCTTCGTTGGAGATTGTCTTGGATGTCCGTCTCTACGAGTTATTTCCGGAGTGTAGCAATCCGAATGAAACGGAAGTCTCCGAGAACTTTGACACAGGGTCTGCGCAGACGAGTGAGCATGGGTTGCTGCCGAAATCCTCTTCAGTCGAAGGGTATCATGTACTACCGGTTCGAAGTCCTATCCTGGCTTCGAGAATTCTGGTGTCCATCATGTCGGCCCGATGAGATTATTCCACGGAGCTCCGGGGTGAGCTCTGTTCGGCATCAGTTCCGCGCTGATAGAGAATGGCGACGTATTCGCGAAATCGCCCCCTACCCCTCTGATGTGTTTCCAAACCCACTCCGGACCGAGACACGAATGATTCAAGCCACGATTTCACGGAGCCAGCTCACAGATATCGGCGAAGCTCAAGATTCCTGGACTAGAAATAAATTCAAAACCGGCACTTATCGATCACTCGTCTCCGTGACCGTCCACCTGCTGAAAGGAAAGTGATCTCCGAACTGAGTGCTATTTCTCTCGAGGTACCGCGAGAATATGAGAGTCCCGTTTCCGGTTTGGTTCGAGCGCGTCGGGTGGCTTCGCGCAGGGCTTACAGAAGTTTTCTGCTCCGAACCTCCCAAATCGCCCCGAGAGCTTGAGCTCGACGAGCTTTGGCGGTCTGCTACGGGAGTAGGAGATACGAAAAATCTTCCTGAGAATGGGTTCGACCCCGAAACTGCAGAATACGGTTTGAGACCCTCATGGGATAATTTTGATTTATCCGATGGGACATTGGCTCAATCAGTGACAACACGCCAGTGTTCTGATATGAGATGATTTATTCCGAGGGCGAGTACCCGTGCCCCTCTCGCTCGATAAACACGGACGGCGCAGGTGTCAAAACAACGAATGACCGATTCAAGCGACGTGTACTTCACACGATGTGTATACCTGGCCTCCGGGGTTCCTCGCCGACATTGTGTATATACCCTTTAGATGAGGCTGGAAGTCCGGAATCTCGATAGCGACTACGCCTCGAGAATCAATTCGAATTAACTGAAAACAGACCAGTCCGATGTTAGTAGAGCGACGACGATTGTCAGTTCGCTGAGTTTCCAGATGTGATCGTTGTCAAGATTCATAGGACGAAGGATCCTTCTTCGGTCACGCACTCGAATTCCACTAGCTTCGTTCAAGGGAGCACTGTTGTGAAGCCATTTGATTTCCAGGTTGTGGCCTGCGACGCGGGTCTCTAGCCGCAGCGGTTCGCCCACTGTGGCTCTCACGTTCGGGAGCGGGTCTTGAATGACCGGACCATCCATTTGCTGGAACACGGAGAAGGACCGCGCAATAATGTAGAGGGAATAACATTGCCCTTCTGTGGGAACATTTCTGAAGCGAAATGAGCTCTGCCTGATATTCTCAGAGTCTACTCACCCTTCTTATTTGAAAAGTTTTTGTCAAACACTGTGACTCTGATGTAGCCCGAACAGCCGCGGCTTGTCGTTTCGGCTCTCGATCTGGTTTATGTGAGGGCTGAGAGAAGGAAAGCCTCCCACTTGAATGAGTAGGTTACGCTTTGAGAGCCCGTCGGGCTGGAACTATCGATCGTTGGCAAGCGACCAACGAGCTCCACTTCCGTTCAAATGGCAATTTGGTACTTTCATACGCCATATTTCGGCGCCGTGGATCATTCAGGCAGGGGAGTCATCACGTACAGTCTGGAAGAATTGTGCTCCCACCGGTCGAGTTCCCACCAGGGATTCCGGGACCTCTCTATCGGCTCCTGCGGGGCGGCGTTTCCCCGTGTCAACAAGCCCTTCCCCATGATCGGGATCTGCCGTACCCAGCTCCGCTATGCCCCCGTCATCGAGAGGCTCCGAGTCATTCCGAGCTGTTCAAGGATGAGTGACCGAGGACACAAGTCCTCGATCGTCATCCCCACGGTAATCCGATCGAGTTTGGAGTGCTCACCGGAGTCCGTCCCACACTTTTATTAGCTTATAGTCTTCCACTCATACCGATCAACGGAAGCCTCGATGCCCTGGGAGTAAACCCGTGAAAAGAAGCACAAGTACTTTTCGCTTTCAACTAAACGAGATGAATCCATACTCTCCGATCTCTGGAAAGCGGTGATCTTTCCCCGCCCACTGCACGATTGGGATCCTTGAGTGGGGGTTATCGCAGCTCAAATGAGGCCGGAAGGCCGGTCCTGCTTGGGAGACTGAATACTTTCCCCCTCAGCCCTCGAGGGAGGCGGGAAACTGAATTCTCGATTCTGTTTTATGCGAGGACTCGATCCTACGGGATCTGAGTATGTTTTCCCATGATCACCGCATGAGCAATCTTCACTCCAAGATTTCTACGATATCATAGTACAGATATCGGGCTCCCCAAGCGCTCCCCGATTCTGAGGGAGCCGTGTGCGCGGAGGCTGACTCTTTTTAAATTTTCCCGCTCTTCCCCCTCATCCGGTGAGGCTTCTACGCGGAGCCTTCTCTTCACAGCGATCGCTATAGAAACTACTATCGCATCCACTCTCCGCGCACGTTGTGACCGAGGTAACGAATTCACGGAGAATAGGTGAGTGTTCGCAAGATCCGAGTATTTCCATCGTCTGAGGACGGATCTGGAGGCCTTGTAGCCTCGAGAGAAGAATTTGCCCCGCTGCAGACTCCGTTGCGCGACGGAAGAGCGCGTTCGGATTCCACCGGCATCACTATGTCTGCGCGAAACTTCTCGAACATGTCGTGAGATGCCGGTAACTGATAACTCAAGACTCCACATCGGATTTCTAGAACTGAGACATCTCTGAGGCTGCAGATTTTCCGAGGAAATCCCGTGATTCCTCGGGACAACTTTGATGAATTCGGCCTCAAGTACATATATCTGAACTTTGAGCGCGGCATGTGTTCACCGTCGGCCGTCGGCGTTCGAAATCACGGCCCTCAGGCGAAATTACTATATGCTGGCTGGGAACTCCACAAGATCATTGGGTCTAATCTGATTATCCCATGCAGAAATGGCCGCTGCTGGACGTCGTCTGATTCCGCTCCTTGACCGCATCCTCGTGGAGAGGTTCGCTCCCGAAGTCAAGTCAAAGGGAGGAATTCTTCTACCGGAGCAGAGTCAGAACAAAGTTCAAACGGCCACCGTCGTTGCGGTCGGTGACGGAGGATACTCGAAGGACGGCCAGAGGATTCCGGTCTCGGTCAAGGCAGGCGACAAAGTCGTCCTGCCCGAGTACGGTGGACAGAAGATCGAAGTCGACAAGAAAGAGCTCTTCATTTTCCGAGACTCTGACATCCTCGCCAAATGGCAGGATTAGTTCCCCGAGAGTATTAAAATGAAGCGTTAGTTCGTCCCTTATCTTTCGTAGGAAGCGGAAAGCGAATAAATCAATGTCTCGTCAAGGATGATGCGTACTGTAAATTGAAAACACACACCTCACAGACAAAGGAATACACATTGAATAAATTTCCACCGTAAATTTCTACAAATTTGACTTTTCCCTGTTCGTGCCCGTTCGGAGCCTCGCATTCCAGCTGACGGGGGAGGGGGCGGGAGGGCTTTATTCTCGCGGGATTCCGTCTCGGGAAGGGGAAGGGGAAACTCCGGGCCCCATTAATCATCAGACCCCACTGGTTCGAAAGCAAATTCAAAGTCCGAGTCTTCCCTTTAGAAAGCATGACGCGTCCTCTCCGGGATATCTGCCGGGTGTACAGACGGTGAAAGACTGAGCCTCCCTGCGCTGATGTTCTAGAGACAACGAGAAGAGAAGCAGCTGCCGTACAAACATGTTTCGTCCCTTATATGCGTACCGGTTCCCGAAGCATCTCGAACAAGGCGTCTATCTGTCGAGGGGCCCTCTCAACTTCCCCGAGTAGCCCAACGACAGACGCACGAACGTAATTTCGAGCGGAGACAAACGCGTGGTTCTAGAACACGTGTTTCAGAATCGATTCGGGAATGGTTGCATCAGCCGCATGCCTGTTTGGTCAGGATAGAGAATCAGAGCAAGAATCCTATCGAATGACCAGACTCTCGAATAAAGTATGAGGGATTTATTCTCTAATAATAATAATGATGCATCCGGGCATTTCCATGGTACTAATCGATGAGCCTTTGTTTGTACAGAGCTTCTTGAATGCCCGTGGTTTGTTCAATAATGCTTGTCTATTCGTCCGATGTTTCTCTCTTGGAGTACCAAAAAATGATGAACACGCCTATGATACAACTTGCATATATGTATATAAATTCTAGTCTTCGGGAGAGGTCTACCAGCGCGACGCTCACATCATACCGCCCATTCCTCCCATTCCTCCCATGCCTCCCATGCCGCCCATTCCTCCAGCGCTTTCCTTCTCGTCCTTTGGCAATTCCACGATGACAGCCTCAGCGGTCGTGAGCAGAGACGCCACGCCGGAAGCGTCCGTGAGAGCGGTCCTCACTACCTTCGTGGGATCGATGATGCCGGACTTGATCATATCCACGAACTTGTCGTTCGCAGCGTCGTAGCCGAAGTCACGCTCCTTGGACTCGATGATCTTGTTCACGATGACCGAGGCGTCGACGCCGGCGTTGCTGGCGATCTGGGTGGCGGGCATGCGGAGAGCTTTCTTGACGATGTCCACGCCCATTCTCTGTTCCTGGGTGTCGCACTTCATGCTCTCGAGAGCGGGAAGGCATCGAATGAGGGCGGTTCCACCTCCGGGAACGATCCCCTCTTCGACGGCGGCCCTTGTGGCGCAGAGCGCATCGTTGACTCGGTCCTTCTTCTCGTTGACCTCCACTTCCGAGCTGCCACCGACCTTCAGGAGAGCGACTCCGCTCGACAGGCGAGCGAGACGCTCGCTGAACTTCTCCTTCTCGTACTCAGAGGTCGAAATTTCGATTTCGTCCTTGATCTGATTCACTCGGCGATCGATATCGGCTTTCTGGCCTTTGCCCTTGAGGAACAGGGTGTCGTCCTTGGTGATGGTGACCTCACCGACCTGGCCGAAGTCTCCCATTTGAATGTCTTCGAGCTTGACGAGATTGGCCTCGTCTCCGAAAACGATGCCTCCCGACGCGATTGCCATGTCGTGCAGCGTGTTCTTCCGGTTGTCACCGAAACCTGGCGCCTTGACGGCAGCGACCTGGAGTCCGACCTTGAGTCGGTTGAGGACGAGCATCGAGAGAGCTTCCCCGTCCACGTCCTCAGCGACGATGATCAACGGACGACGGGCTTGGTTCGCCATCTCGAGAGCGGGAATCAGCTGCTGGGCGCTCGAGATCTTCTTCTCCGAGAACAGGATGAGAGCGTCCTCGAATTGGACCTTCGCACCCTTGGCGGTGTTGATGAAGTACGGAGAGATGTAGCCCCGATCGAACTTCATGCCTTCGATTACTTCGAGCTCATCGACGAGCGTCTTGCCGTCCTTGACGGTGATGACTCCGTCGCGACCGACTTTCTTCATCGCGTCCGAGATCAAAGTTCCGACGGCAACGTCTCCGTTGGCCGAGATCGTGGCGACCTGAGCGATTTCCTCGGGGGTGGTCACGGGCTTGCTGAGTTTCTTCAGCTCCTCGAGACACGTATCGACGGCGAGCATCACGCCACGACGAATTTCGATGGGGTTGGCTCCTTTCGAAATTTGGTTGAAGCCCTCGCGAGCGATCGCGCGGGCAAGGATCGTTGCTGTCGTCGTTCCGTCTCCAGCCTCCTCGTTGGTGTTGTTGGCCACGTCTTGCACGAGTTTAGCACCGATGTTCTGGAACTTGTCCTTCAACTCGATGCCTACGAATAACGGGAATCAGTGAGTTCGACTTCAGTCACGTCTACTGCAAGAAATTTTCCAACGATGTACACGTGCTCCGGCTTCCCGACGGACGGCCGCCGGCTCCGGTAGGACGAGCCGAACTCACCTTTCGCCACGGTCACACCGTCCTTCGTGATCTTGGGTCCGCCCCAGGATTGTTCGAGAATCACGTTGCGACCCTTGGGCCCCATGGTGACGGCCACTGCATCGGCAAGAATATCAACTCCCTGGAGCATGAGAGCTCGGACTTCTCCGCCGAATTTGATATCTTTGGCGTTGCACATCTGGGATGTTGTGGCCAAATAACGGGACCCCATGTTGTGGGAACGGGCTACAGCCAGAGCTTGGCGACACACAGGACGGAGGAGTCTGTACATCTTGAACTCTGTAACGAGACGAATTACGACCATCAGTTAGCTTTGAGAGAATCCTGGAACTGCTATCATCGGCGCGAGTGCCTCGCGCGATAGCGTCCATGCCGTGCCGGCAGGCTCGGGAAAGTTTGCCTTCCCGGAATTTTGATCAGTTCGCTCGTGACGAGACTCTCGCGCGATGACCAAGTGGACCTGGTCTTCACTGTGGAGCGATCTCCCACGGCACTATGAACCGAAAGTTCGAGACCGGCTATCTCTGACCCCTAGCGCACCACGTGTGAGTATGAGTTTCGGGAAAAATTCGGAGATTTCGTCTCTTCCTTCCGAGCAGAAGATTATTCTACACCAGACGGTCTCAAACAGGGAACTTACATTTGCTTGGGAAGAGAATAGCGGACAATCTAAAGAATCAGCGACGGCTGCCGGCACGCGAACTGATTGCTCTGCGCGAATGTCGAAACTTCTCGAGACGCAGAGAGGTTCTCCTCGCGCGTCCGGAGTCACGTGACAAAAACCGGAGAATTTTCGATGGCGTAGCGGAGTCTTATCGTCTGGGAATCCGAAAATAAGCGATACCGAGAGCAAAGGGATCAGTTTTCCACAAAATACTTCAAAGACATCGCGTATCCACGGTTATAATTGCCGGCGAATGTTCCAGAGGATTTGATGGGGCGATCGGTGCTGGCGATAGAAGCCTAGCTACATGGTCACGGAGGCGAACTCTGACACACCGCGCGGAGAATAAACGATGGTCCCAAGGGTGAATAGCCCGATAGGGAGTAGCACATAGGAGTATCGTTGATTCGAAGTGACCCGATTCGCACTCTTGAGAGTTTTCGGAACTGAGGGACTCTCTCTGACGCTCGTGACGTCGTGAGAGTGGCAGAGGTTGCTGACTTCACGGGATAAATCTCCGCAGGATCTCCGAGCACTTTCCACGATGCCTATCGGATCGGATACACCGTGAATCCTCCAAAAGTGACCCGGGCTTCTATTTTTTCAAATACCTCTGGCGAGGCGCTTTTATTGGAGAGGGGCTACTATTGGAGGGGGGCTCTTAATGTTCCAAGAGAAATCTTGCTCCGGAAAAGTGACGATGGATTTCTGGGGGAGAGCGTGTTCCCGGTCTGGGAGGAAATTCTTGGGCGCCGCAGTCCAGATTCTATCACGTCAGCTTTTCCCCAGCCGAGTTCGGCAGTCAGGGGTCTCCTAGTAGAGAGGGGCTCCTATCGGAAGGGAGTCTCTGTTGGAGAGGGGGTTCCATTGGAAGGGGGCTGCGATTGGAGGATTCACGGAATCTGTCCACCAACACCCACGCCATACGCAACGTTTAGTCAGGCTGCCGTTCAACGGCTCCAGCAAGCTCGCCAAATTCTAGCCGATGTCACTTCCCGGGCTTTCGAGCCTTATTGTCAGATACAATCCGACGAGCTCGTCTTGCTCCCAAGTTCGAAAAGATGGAGGATGACGTCATATGATCGGGAATCTCCGAGAGTACATCGCTGGGACGGAGATCCGGGTCATAGGAAGCCATGACACGACAGAGCTCCAGGGCGGAATTTTTACATCGAGATAGTGATGCCTCTTCTGATCCTCGTGCTTTCCGCAGACTTCATCTCAGGATGGATCATCGCCGCTGGCTCCTTCTTGATCTCACACTAGCCTCTTGACTGGAGTCCGGTTCGCTCCGCTACATGACTATTGAAGCTCACTCATGGTCAACTACGGGAACATCAAAAAGTCCCGCACGATGCTCTGTAGAGCGTGAAGTATGCCGGCATTGACCCTGCGTCAGCCCTCATCCTATCTTTTTCACAAGAAGACCGTGGGTAAAGGTCGGTCGAAATGACGGCGAGCTTATTCGCCCAGATCCCACATCACCTCCAAGTTCCCATCGGCGGTTCTGACTCAAGCGATTTCTTTCTAGCGGAGGGCGATGGCTTCTCTGGGGATGGACGACTCGCCTTCTGGTACGTTTCCTTTCGAGAACCCGAAGCATGTTGCAGGAGGCGCCTCGAGGACGCGACTTCATTGTCCGTGCTCCATGCAGTCGCGTCCAACTCCACCCCGAAACTTGCGCGACTCCCGTAAAGGCTCTGAAGGATTCAGCGCTGTAGGGTCACCACCCCGAAGATCTCAGCGACAATGATGGTCGGTATTCGGATTACTTCGCTCCGATCGCCGCGCCGCCCATTCCCCTCGACATATTCTTCCCGCCTTCCTCCTGGGCTCTTCTCTCCGATGATGATCTGGAGTCGAGGAACCGACCGAAACGGGGGCGCAATTTCGCAGCACAGAACCGGAAGCGTATGGAAGGGAGACGTGCGCAGGACTGCTCGCTCGATTCAAATCATTATTGAAAAAAATACTCCTCATGGTCATCATTGGAACCTGGGCCTGATGGAATTTTTTTATAGGTGAAAAGTGATCAATCATACTATTTATGGATCGTCGCAATAGTTCGACACTGATTCGTTCTCGGCAAGGGGCTTGTTCATCTCTCCCATGGATTGCTGTACCAATCCCAACCACGTCTCTATCGGGAATTCGACCGCTGAGTTCCGGACTGCGTCCCGATTGAGGTCGACGATCAACGAAGTTCACAGATCATGATTTCCGAAACGATATCGTGCGATGTAGGCCAAATACCGACTAGCATCTCCCGTGAGCCCTGAAACCTCTCGCTCTTCATCCGAGAATATCGACCCTAGACCAGCATGACATGCGCGGGAACAGCCGTCTCTATGATCCTCAGAGGTCCTATCGGGGACCTTATGATGAAGACGTTCGCAGATGTCTACGCTTCCGCGAACCTCCCAGGAATGGAGAAGATGTTCCATGATTTCAAAAGCAGTATTGCTGCTTGCCCGGAGTAGCTCGGGGAGACGGATGCGAACGGCACTAGAACGCGGCCTCCGGAGGTGGGAATCGGACCCGGCTCCCAGTACACTTCGAGAATGGTAGTCGCACGACAAAGCATAAATTGGAAGATCTTGCTGGAGATATCGCTGTACGCTTCGAGGCGCGAAAAGAGGGTACCTATCCTCCAACCTGCATGGATACCGCTCTACCTAGAAGATCTCAAGCATTTTCGCAGAGTCTGTGGTCGCTATCGGTCCGGGGGCGAATCCTTGCTTCGTGAGTAGACTCGCAGAAAAAAGAACCGATCCCCCATCCGTGACCTTTACTAGGGTCGATGCGAGGACCGAAGACTTGAGAGAACTTCGTGACAATTCAGGCGACATCAGAACTCAGGTTCTGTGCTTGGTATCCGACTGGCACAAGAGCGTCGCAGAAGTTTGGCGACTTTTGAGAAAGTCTGACGAGATTCATGGACCAAAGAGCAAAATGAAAGATTAAGTCGAGAGGAGAGGATCTGGAGCATTTCCGAGCTAGAGCTGTTGAATCTCGAAATGATGGCGTCCACTCCTGAGCTTATAGAATGTTCCACGATTCCAGGGAGGAAGATTCCATTCTAACAAGCGCCTAACCTGCCCGGACTTGCGGACTTCGCATCTCTATCAACTTCTGTAAACCTGCTCCCGTATTCCTGCTGACCTTGGGAGGCTGTCGACCATCGTGACCAATGCACGGAGCTATTCGCCGAAAGGCTGGTTCCGATGTGGGGCCTCCGGCGTGAGAACCGACTGTCTGAACGAATGCTCCGGAAGTCGATGGAAAAGGAATGTTCTATTCGATCTGACGAGCTGGAAAAGGACTACCAGAGAAGCTGACCCAATAACGGACTTCCGGCTAAAAGGGACTGATTTCCAGGCCCCAGTCCAATCTCCTCCCAAACTGATCGAATCGGTTATGAGGGATCTATTCTCGCGATTAGGAAACTCGGAAAAGATAGCCTATTGGACGATTTTCAGGGTTTCTCGTATGCGTGTGCATCGTTAGAAAGGCTGCCGCAGTGTTCCCGATGACTTACAAGTTCTATTCCGATTGAGCACCCATCTTCTAATGAAACGGACTTCCCACATTCCCGAACGTTCCGGCCGGTCCCTTCGAGTCCATTTTAATGAGGTTTTACTGTAGTATTCGGTTTCCCCCCGGACGAGCTCCACAATCCGAACAGGTTGACCCAAACCGAGTTTTTCCGAGCGCATTACCCATGGGTACGCGTCGAGAAGTGAAACTAAGTGACGCCCAATGCCAAGGACAGGGGCGTTCCCAGGATTTTTTTTGGGGGGGGCCAGACTAGGTTTTCGGGGGGCCAGAGATCCAAAATGATGAAGTACCCTGTACTCCTGCATTACGCAAAAAGAACTTCCTTGGCCCCCCCTGGGTACGCCACTGGCCAAGGACGATTCGTTACGACCGCGACCATATGTACGGCTTGGCTACAATCGTGTCCCGGTCCTGTACTCATGTCCTTGGGATGTTCTTCCCCCTCCGACACCTGCACCCAAAGAGCTTCTTCTTGTTCATCTGTATCGCAGTCTAATTCGATGTCGATGTTGAGAATAATACGTGTGTGCTCAAAGTCCACTTTCTGGACTATGCTAAACTTTCGGAGCTCGCGGACGGCGCTATGAAATGCCTCGGGGGTCGACGGCTAGAATTTACCGAGATTTTTGTATCTTTCAGGCGTTGACTTCTCTTCGCACAGCGGGACCAAGCATGTCTTCATCTCTCTTGGAATGCATCGTTTCCCCGGGAAAGGATTCTCCGCTTGTGAGCGCGACTGCCAGCGGCCGACTCACTAAACTCCGATCTGTAGAGCTGAATTGCTAAGGACCGCCCTTAATTTTCTTTTGTTGAAGCAGAGCCCCTACAATAATCGGAGCTCGAGGTAAGCGGGACGGATTGAGGGTTGAATCATCGAAATGACCCATGAAGCTAACAACAAGTGATTGGGCTCCAAAATATATCCCCCCCTTCGACGAGTCACAATCTGCTCGAATGTACATAGGTCCTTCATCGCTCTCGCCTGAGCCTTATTCGGGGCCTTTCCTCATATGCATGCTTCTGAAAGTGCTCAAGGACGGAAGAAAGTCGATTCACTAGTCGTTTGGCGATATGCGAGAATCGATTCACCGGATATGTGCATGCAAGAGTCCCCTTCTTCCATCTCCTGAAATCTATGTCCCCGAATCGAGTCGGTCAGCATGTCAGCGTTGAACCCGCACCACGTGCCGTCCTGATTCCCGAGATGCGCCGGGTGAGAATACCGCCAGACTGGACATTGAATCGAGACACCAGGACTCGGTAAGAATCCTCTGGCGGACAATGAATCTTGATTCCACTGACCCTTTCCGGAGAGGAGGATTAGTGGATCTATGAGGGCTTCTATTCTAGTCCCGAGGCTTCTATGCGCGACGGAGCTCGCACCGTATCGCCGGTTCGTATCAGCGGATTTCAATTGGCGACCTGTGAACTGGAGGTAAAGTACCGACAATGTAACATCCGAGATGCTCTGACATCAGATGTCACACAGCCGGGGCTCTTTTCCCCGTAGCCCGGTCTGGAAAACCGACGTGAGTTGTGAGCCTTCCGGGCACCCCAGACTCTCCAGAGAATCTACACACATCACTCTCACTCTGGAGAAGACTTACCCGTAGGGAGTCTACAATGCTCTGTGAGAATGGATTTTTGGAGCTCCGACATCGGTCCATACCGTCTCACTCGGACACTCCCTGGATCCCGCTCCCAAGTAACGTCCTCACGGCCCAATCACGCAGTCAGAATCTCGTCTGGCGCTCTCAGAGCGGACGAGCCATTTGCCCGACCAACTATTCGGTTCTTCTGCCAGCTCGGCCCATACGTGGCGGGGCCTCCCGGCTGCCGGTCAACGTGGGTGGCTCCATCATTGCGATTGGATCGGTGGTCGAGCCTGGCATCTCTTGTTGCCGGTCCCGCGATCCAGAGAATAGTCATGCTCTCCAGTATATTTGCAAGATCGCGTATAAGCAGATGAGCCTATTCCTGTCTCGGTGCACTTCAACTATGTATGATCGATTATTAGTTATCGATCCAGGACTCGGTTCCCGGATAGCTCTCTTTGGAAATCACTCGTGATTTTCCTAGGAAGCCAGCAAGGCCTCCATCCTCCGCTCCGGGAACTCTGCGCTATCATCACTGTGGGGCATCAATCAGGGAGCAGAATACCTGACCGAAAAACGAAAGCGGCTGAACATTCGAGCCTTACCCTTTTTCGGACGACACGTCTCGTCCCATGTCCAGATTCGTATTCTTCCTGCATAGGTCAGACGGGAGATCTGCTGATTCGATACTCTGCATCAGAATCCCGACTCGGCACCGCAAATCGTCGAGCCTGGGAGAAAGCTGTGGATAAATACAAGTTGTAATTTTGCTGGAGTGTATCGGGTGGGAAAAGTCTCGTGATGTGCCACCAATCAATTTTAAGCATTTTCGAAACAGGTGGATTCGTGAACGAAAATGACGGCAGAAATCAACTTTGCCCGGCTCCTACGCCAGCTTCCGGAGCTGCGGACGGCTTTGGTGGAGAATCGGAAGATGGTTCTTGTTCCAGCAGCGGCGATCGTTGGATACTTAGTTCTGCGCGATCCAGCCAAGAATGCTCTCCACCGTTTTTTCGCTCACTTTTACAGCGACTGGCTCCTCGAAGGTGCGTTTTACAGAATTCACTCGAAGAGTTCTACACGAAATCTGTTTTCGCTACCCCAGTCCGTGCGGAGGCATCGCCCGCCAAGAGCTATGGAGATTTCGGAACAGCCAGAATCAAGCTCGGAAAACCTTGTCAAACGATTTCTCTCTCCGTATCAGATGTCAACTTGGTGCTCCAACCTTTTCGAGAATTCCTGGGAGATCAGCTAGCTTCGCAGAAGGCTCAAAGCCCGCATTCCCATGATAATGAGCCCCTGAGCATACTGGAGATTGGAATGGGGCCAGGGTCCAGTCTGGACTTCTACCCGAAGGGTCAGTAATGCCGCCCCGCCTGCGGCCGCACCTGTGACCGCAGCGCCACCGGGAATCACGAAGTATCTGAAGCATAGAGCACACTGCAATAATCATGAATTACCTTTCACCAGACAGCAGGATCGTCGCCGTGGAGCCGAATCCCTACTTCGTCGACAGGCTGCTCAAGCTGCAGGAGTCGCACCCAAACCTCGTAAAAGTCATACACGGTTCCGCCGAGGATCTCAGAGACATCCCTAGTGAATCGATTGATGCCGTGGTCAGCACTCTGGTCTTATGCTCGGTGTCGGATCTCGACAAAAGCATCAAGGAAGTCAAGCGGGTTTTGGTTAAGGTGGGTCGAGCTTCCAGTAACCTTTCTGTACCTCGAATTATTCGGTCAATGCTGTTGAACGTAAGAATGATGCTTGAAGAACATCATTGAATCAAAGCTCTGATACAGGGAGGCAGATTCTACTTCTTCGAGCACCAGGCCTGTCCTAAGTCATGGAGACGCTACTTGCTGCAAATCGTAGCAAATCCCCTCTGGAGGATCGTTTTTGATGGATGCAATTTGCATCGACAAATCCACCGACAAATAGAGGCCAATGGATTCGAGGTGACCTTCCGTTTTTGATCCGAGACGGGAATCGCGGAGTCGATGTTATCGGATAGACTAGAGCCTGAGAGACCCGTCTTGAAATATGTACACTTCGTACTTTCTCGAGGGGTCGCGGGGGTTGTGGACGCGACGCATGCGACCTAATCCTATGGTCCTTTGCAGATGGACCACGCCAAACTTAATGCCGGAGCCAGCTGGTATGTCTGCCAAGCGGGGACGGAGGGATATGTTGTGAAAAGATAATTTGTCCGAGCAGGATGACTTCCGAAGAAGTCTCTCTGCAGAGCTAGAGCACGTCTGACTGGCCGACGAATATGCAGAAATGAAGCTTCGTACGCAGGGTTTCGCAGCCTTTCTGTCCCTCGAGACCCCCTCTTAGCCATGAAATCGGCTTCGGGACCCCATCGATGGAGTCTCGGGATCGGAAGTGAATGAAATACATATATGCTACACGGTTCTCTGCCGTGGAGAACGATTGGTACTACTCAAGATAATGATTCGTCTGTCGCTGTTCCGAACGAGACCTGATAGAGACTGCATAGAATCTTAAGACTGCATAGAATGATCATTCGACGTCTCCGGGACCTTTGCCCGGAAACCCTTCGGGACAGGCGCCGGCACCCCTTCTCGGTTTTTCCTGCTCTGTACACCGAGTCACCGCTTCCGTCCGCTTGCTCTTGGTGCACTCGCTCCGGAGGCGCTTGCGATGAGTCGGCTGGCTGTCAGTGTGTTATCCGGCATTCCTCCTTCGCTCGTGATAATCATTTCTCGTTTTCCTCCTGCTCCTCTTCCCTTTTCCCCACCGTGTTCCCCATGACAACTTCTTTGTTTTTCCATTCTCCTGCTTCCCCGGTTTCGTGTCCCCGCTCTTTCCAACTTCGCCGTGGACTCGTATTCCTCAACCTTTTTCCTTGTTCACCGCTTCCCCGTTCTCCGGCGTCCTCCTTTTCCCGCTTCCTCGTTTCCCCGCGTCGAAGTTTTCCCGCTTCCTCGTGTTCTCGTTTTCATTCCTCATACAACACCCTGCAACAGTGGCGTATCCAGGGGGGGAGGAGAGAACCAGGTCTCGTGCCCCGGGCGCCGATTCCGAGGGGGCGCAACACGAAGATTTCTGTCCCCACTATCTACGCGCTGACACTCGAGCTTCGGGTTGGTTTCGATACAGAGCATTCCGGCATTCACATAAGAGAGTAACGGTGGAACTGCCCCCATTCAAAACATCAAGAGTCTTTCCCACTAGGTCCGTAAGAATGTAACGCGATTTCTCCAAAAAAAATTCGCTCTCTGCCTCCCGCTCACGACGTGGTTCCTGCCGTTTCTCCGTGTCTATGCGTTGAACGGAATCATAGTCCAGAGAGAGCGGAGGAAGGAGGAGGGGACGCATTTCTGTCCTCTGCTCCAGGCGCCAAACGGGCTTGGTCACTTGGCAGCTGCCCGGGAGATCAATAATCCACGTCTCGGTCTCCCGCCTTGCCACTCTCTCGCTCTCCCCTTTTCCCGCTTTCCTGTTTTCCCCTTTTCCTGCAGCCCGGTAAGGAATTTCCTCTCCACATGCACTCCGGGGATCTATGATCTACCACGGCCACCATATCGAGATTCATGGGTGGAAGACACCATCGCTCGATGACGGCAACCCCTAATGACCTTCCAGAGCGAGAGCGGCCAAGAATCAATCGCCAGATTCTCTCAGGGATCGGACCAGCTCTCGGGGTATTTTGCGAATTTCCATTTTTCCGAGTGTTTGATTTTCGGCGGCTGGAGCGCTCGAATATTTTTTCACCCGACAGCTCCCGAAAACCAGTCCCTGGATTCCCGCGGCGATCGCTTCGGCCGTTCCGGTGTGTATGGGGAACACACGACGGACAGAAATCTCTTTTTCAGATTACGCCTGCGAAGGGTCGTGAACAACCAAGGGTTGTTTGAAGGGAAGCATTCCTGGATAATGGAGGGGAAATAAATAGAACTTCGTTGAGGGACCCGTGCTCGTGTGTCAGATCACACCCGTTCTGAGGGATTCGATGTTCTAGATTCCAGGGTTTAGCCACGAGGAATAAGTCGGGGAGCCTAGACGATGAGAGCACTAGAAACCAGTTTTCGTGTCTCTCAGCATGAGCTTCAATGCAGAGAATGGTCAAGATCAACATTTGATTAGCTTGAATTCGTAGCACCGGAATTCAAATCAAGGGGACATTTGCGACGAACGATCCGGCCCCCACGATCTTGAGGCGATTTCGGTGCGCTCACAGTCAGCCCCTGTGGACGAAGCTTCTATGCGCGGCTGAGCTCGTTCCAAAGTGCCGCAGCCGTAGTGCCGTCAGATATTGGAAGGACTGGAAGCCGAAACTCCACTTTAAGTAAGTGTTCTGAGGAAACGTGTGAGTATACACAGAGCCTTCGTCGTCTCTGAAATCCGATGCGAGCACATGCTCGGCAATATCATAATTATCGGGAGAATCACAAGCCAGTGATGCGAGTTTCAGCTGATATACCTCATTCCATTTCAACCGGTGAGCGAAGGTTTTATTTCATACATATGCGCCGAGACAGATTTCGAGCCCGTGTATCTCTTCGATAAAATCGATGTATCGGAGCGGCGAGAGCGCGCCCCCTTCTTGCCGCTAACCCTTGCTTTATTGACAGCCACCTGTCGGAGGCGCAGGCGTCTTCCGGGAGACACAGCAAACAAGACTTTCATTATTCTCTCATGACAGTCATCGCATATTAAGACTGTTATCGACCCCTAGAGACAACTTGATGGCCCGTCGAGAGCTCTGAGAATTTGAAAGATTAAAGTTTCCTGGAGAGTGTATCTCGATCACTTGGGTACCTTGTCATCCTCCCTGGAGCCGTTCGATTGAGAATCGACTGCTCAGTATGGTGGATTTCTCCGCTTCTCGTACACCTCGATACTTTTGGATAGTCCAGTCTTGAATTGCTTACTCGATAGCCATTTTTTCGAGAGAGCTCCCGGCGTGAGAGGATTTGGTGACATGTGAGCTTCCCTCTGATCGCATGGTCGCGCTCTGAGACGTCTTGTGAAGGAGCGAGGGACGTCAAATGTCGCCGGGTCTTTCGTTGAAACGAACCAATGCCTTGCAGAGAACTCTGATGATGGCAGTTGAGGTCAACTTCGCACGCTTCCTGCAGCAACTACCGGCGATCCGAACCTCCGTGATTGAAAATCGAAGAATGATTCTTATACCGACAGCGGCTGTTTTCGGATACTTGGTCCTGCGTGATCCCGTCAAAGACGGGCTTGATCGCTTTTTCGCGTACATATACAACACTTATCTACTCAAAGGTGAGCTACAGACGTATTGATATTCTTTGTAGTTTCTTGCGCCTTGGTTTGCACGATTGTCAACCATACAATGGGATCCTATGGGTTTCTACGAAGCAGACAAGAATCGTTTTCCGTGTTCGGTCAGATGTCAACCTGGCGCTGCGAGCATACCGTGAACACATGAGGGAAGAGCTCGCCTCTCAGGAAACCCTGGATCCCCATTCGCACAATGACGAGTCCCTCCGAATACTGGAAATCGGTATGGGACCCGGCGTCAATTTGGATTTCTACCCAGCAAGTGAGTGTATGCGCTCTCCCAGGACTTGTTCGATTCGTTCGGTTTGCCTAAAGTTCCGGCCATTCGCCGGAGGAGGGAAGAGAAAGAGGATGGAGATCGTAACGAGTTGTCCAATCAACAGACAGCCGAGTTATCGGTGTCGAACCGAATCCCTACTTCGTTGATCAACTCATTCAGCTGCAAAAATCGCACAGAAATTTCGTCAAAGTCATCCGAGGCTTCGCTGAGGATCTGCGAGACATCTCGACCGAATCCGTTGACGCTGTCGTTGCCACTCTCGTCTTGTGCTCGGTGAAGGATCTCGACAAGAGTCTCAAAGAAGTCAAGAGAGTGCTGGTGAAGGTGAGCGGGGGGATTTTCCCTAAATCGAAAAGATGCGAGGACAAATCATCCTCGATGAGCAGCGGATCGTCGAAAGTCCAGATCTTAATCTCCATCGTATTTCTTCGCAGGGGGGCAGATTCTACTTTTTCGAGCATCAAGCTTGCCAAGTATCCTGGAAACGTTATTTGCTGCAGATTATAGCGAACCCTTTCTGGAAGATCGTTTTCGATGGATGCAATTTGAATCGTCAGACGCACCGTCAGATTGAGGCGAACGGATTCGAGGTGATTTCTATACTCCTCTCACATTCTTCGTTATGGTGTACAGAGTCTCGGAGCCGACCGATTGAGCCTACTAATAAGCTCGCGCATAATGAGCGGGATAGTAAAAGCCTCGCTTTTTCGCAGATGAGCCACACGAAACAATCAGTCGGACACATGTGGTACATTCTTCGATCGACGACGGAGGGCTACGCAGTGAAAGAATGAATTCCCCCGGAGGAATATCGCCGGCCAAATTTTCTATGGTTTCTGTTGGACATCAGATGGTGGAATCGAAACCATCGACACCGTACCGAGCTTGTAGTGTCACATGCACCTCCGAGAAAATAAAAATTATCCTCATGGAATGGAGCTGTTCAGAGATCGACTTTTCCGCGACTAGATCCTTGCTTCCAAGGGACCCCGGCACGTCGAGGGCACCGGAATCTCGCACAAAAGTTCCCGGAAACGTCCGCGAGGAGCTCCGTCGACTTCGTCTCCTCCTCACGATGGATGCCAGCGTGCAGCCTAATGGAGCAATGATCCATTTGAATCTCGATCTACGAAATCAGATCAGATAGCGATTCAACTTCCGTTGGCTCTCGTGGCTACGGGGAGCATTGGAGGAGGGGGCAAACAATCGCGGTTGGAGCAGTGGATCACGCTGAGTGGAGCTCGCTCACGAGACCGTCAAGGAGCATCGGGGACTAGAGATAGACGACCCGGAGCACGATTTTCCCCGGAGCGGCGTGCTCGGGTTCCATCCCGCTGAAGTTCTGTCGAACTGAGAGGCGTCGTTCCACACATAGATGCCAGAAAGGAGAAAGAAAACTCGCTCGTGCGACAGAACGTCCTTATTTTATCGAAGCAACGATCGAGTTTACTTCTTCTTGGGGGGCAGGATGATTCCGTCGTACTTCTGTTGGAACCACTTGATCGATTCTTCTTTCGTGAGTCGGTGCTGGATTCCAACTTTTCCAGTCTTCTTCCTCCGGTGAGGAACGTTGTATCCGGCACGGCCGAGGACAACGAAGAAATCAAGACCGTAGATACCGATCGAAGGATCGTACTTGATTCCAAGATCGATGTGCTCCTGGATACCGAAACCAAAGTTGCCTGCAAAACTTTTCCTCGTTAAGCGTGGTCAGAAATACCCGGCCTGGGACTGTCGCGAAGAATGGGTTTCGTTCGATCGGAGGAGCATGAAATTACACGGGCCGAGCGTTCTCAATATGTAGTTCGAATGGCAAGGATGTCAGGACACCTCGCTCGTGTGGACAGCATGCGTGAAGAACCGAGTGTGCAATGCTTTTTGGTGCTTGTAGCCTCCTCGGAGGATAGGCAAACTGCTATTCGTCTCACCTGTGTCGGAGAACATGTCCTTGCGGAGTTCGTATTCTCGGACTTTGAGACCTTTCTCGAGGATTTCCTCGGCTTTCACGCCACGCACCGTACAGTGGACAGCGATTTTTTCGTTACGTCGGATACCGAAAGATCGGACCGTGTAGCGAGCTTTCGAGAAGACGGGGTTCTGTCCGGTGAGCTGTTCTAACACCTTGGCGGCACGGGTGAGCCTATCTCCAGATTCTCCGACGCAAATGTTAAGACAGAGTTTGCGGATTTTGATGTCTCGCATGGAGTTCTTCTCCTTGTCTTTCTGGATTCTGCCAGCAACAGTCTTGTCGGCGCCCTTCGTGGAGGGTGGCACCTTAGTCTTCGCCATTATGCACTCCTCCTAGGTGTCGTCTGATGGAATTCACCGCGATTTTCACCGATTTTCACGGAGAAATCGCCACGTGCTACAGCCCAGCAATATGGCGCCGTAGAAAAGGAGGAATCAAGCCGCAAAACAGACGGACCGCGCCATTCCGCACTCTCTATCCGACGGAAGCCTGTTTTCGTTTCTAGAGGGTTAAGCGGAGTGAGCCTGCTGCGAATACGACTTGTCGTTCGATCACGTGGACCAATTGCGACAATTTCGGTCCTGAAATGTCCTCAAAACGCAAAATGCTTGTTGTAATTCGGGTTCTCAGGGAATTCTCAAAATGAGAGCAATACAGGGATGCATCGGCTCGAGCATGAGTACTGCGAAGACGCTCCACCCGCGTTCAAACCTAGATACGATGATCTCCCCTACCGGCGAGCAAAGTGGCGACCGATCGGGAGAAGACACAAATCGGGACCGCAAAATTCGAAAGCCACACGGACACAGTCCACGGATCCAGTGTCACCTGGTGCGTAACCGTACGCTGTCCCGATGCTAAAGTCTCCCGGTGATCATGATGAGAATGAAATGTCCAGTTACAAAGCCCGTCTGTATTGGATCGGGAGCTCGATTTCGTCGACCAAAATGGGACCTCGGTCGATGATAGTCAATCAGGAGGGGGAGGCTGGATTCTTGGAAGATCTGCCGCTCTCTGTTATCGCTGCCGGCGGTGGCGCGACGACATCAGAGGCGAGATCGACACATCATCCTCGTACCACTCAGCATGGGAGTCAGCTGGTGGATTCAATTGTCCGACACGAGGAATATGTAAATTTGCCTGCTTGGCGCAATTTTACGACTGGAACACCGTGGTGAATGCGAGACAGGCAGACCTATGATCAAAAAAAATCTTCGGGGAAGTAATTGTTGTTTCATATTTGGAATTCGACCGTTTTTCATGGAAGGCCCGTTGAGTCACTCTCGAAGCCCTGCTCGATGGCATCCTTCCGAATTACCACCGGGGACGAACCAAAGCTAAACGATTGGGAATGAACGCGAGAACCCCGGGAGCTTTCCACGAGGGGTACCCGGCCCATTCCTGAACTCCGCTCCTTGCGAACGTATGATCTAGAATATGGAGTCTAGACTGATCCGACGGAGTCCCGAGCTAAGTTACGCGATCCACGCGATTTCTGGAGGGCCCTCCGAACGGGAGTAGGACGTACCGGGAGAGGTCGCCCGTTTCCATACTTTTCAGCAAAGATCATCAGCATCTCTCCGTCGGCAAATGCCTCACGTCGGGATTCGAGACAGGTTCATGTCGCGGTTCCCCCCGGATCCCTCCCCACGCACTTGAATTCGTCCGAGAGATCGTTCCAGGACGCGCCGGCGCACTTGCCGAACCCCACACACGCTAGCATCCTCACTTGTCGAGTTACAAGTACTTTACATCTAAACAGTGCAGACGGCCGCGCGGGGAGACTTGAAATGGCAGAGCTAGGAAGCTCCTTCGCAGCGTATGTTCCTACCCGGCGACATATCTCGCTTCGCTCAAAAATCAATTATGGGGCGTTATCGGGCCGATAATTTCAGGAACGTAATAAATATTTATATCAGAATCCTCCTCTCCCTCTGAAAACGTTGCGGATGGACAATGTTTTGATGTAAGGAGGTCCGTCCCACCGTCTAGCGGCAGTCGTCATTGCTCACACCGTAGAGGAATTTCGAAGCAGCAGGCGAGCCGCTGACCCGACGTCAAATCTAACTTTCTCGGTTTAGCCCTCCGTGCGGTGTCATTGTTCTCTTCGACAACTCTCACTCGAACCCATTCAGGTATGATGAGAGGTATCCTAGTTTCGCGAAGTTCGGGAAAGATTTTCTTCCCTGAGCGGAAACTCTCGAGAAATCGTGACAAAATAGGAAGGCGTAGCGTTCAGCCCACTCGGTGCATTTCCGGAAATCGACGGAGAGCAATCGCTAACAATGCCGATTTTGTTGAAGTTTCGAATGAAGAGTTTCGCGTCATTTCGAATTAGAATCTCGCCGAGTTCTCGTTGTTCTGTTACATATCGAGCATGGACAAGCACCTGTGGAATGGACGAGTGAATCTGTGATTCCAGCGAGAGTACAGAGCTCGGACCGCAAAAGTCCCATATTGTGGTCGGTAACACTCCTCCTCAGCGTGGTGATCCGAGCGGCACAATGTCAATTGTTGTTCGCGACCCACGTTCGCGGTCTGCCTGCCCACAAGACGTGGCGGATAGGATCGTAGAGGCTGGCGTTGTCTCATGACATGCCGGTACGGTCGGAGCGTCGTGCATCCACAGAGGAAATCGCTGTGTAAGAGTAATCATCAGTAGTGCTGTCGGCTCTTGTGTTATTTCCAGCCACGATTGGCAGGGAACAACAAGATCTGATAATCACGCATCGCTGTCGCTCCGGTGCTGAGTGAGATGACTCATGATGGCATCGATTTTAGCGGCGGCCTAAAGTAGGAGTGCGCAGGCTAGGAGCTCGCCCGTAGAGCATCCGACGTCCGTATAACTTGCTGTGTTCAGCAATGCGAGTCGTTCGGATACTGGAGCGGATCCGCAGTGTCTCTTTCGGAGGGGCTGAATGACTCGACCGAGATTAGCACGAGAGGAATTCAGCGAGGACGAGAACTGAAGTTGCGAATCTTTCCAGCAACTCATCATGAACGCTGATTTCATGAAGAAAGTGCCGAGGGAAGCTCTTCCCAACGCGGAGGAGATGAACGCTACCGACAGCGTCCCGTGGTACCTCAGATACGGAGCCCGTGTCCTCGCTACGATCGGAGGAGTTCGTAAGTACCTTCCCTCTTCTGGGCTGGTTTCATTACCCTGGTGATCCGAACGGGCAAACAGTTAGTGGGCAGGATCGAGGAGACTCCTTCGAGACAACTCCAAGGAATTCTATCAAGATCGATCGCTTGAGTAGGTATCCATAGTCATGAGTTCGATGAGGCGAGTCTTATATCAGCCGACTCCGAGTCATGCAGAGATAGGGTTATCATAATGATGGGTAGCTCAGCTGAGGAGGGATAGACCGGCTGTCCTATCCTTTGAGGTGCGCTTCTTGAATCTAATTCCGAGCTCAAGTTACTCTCGTGTGGTCGAGTAGGACCGAAATCCTAATTTTATTTCAATATTTCAGTGAGTATCGTCCTCGGGATTCTCGGATGTTTCGTGAGCATCCTCGTACTCTACGGAAAATCTGTTCTAGCCGGAGGCCTCGAAGCCGGCGGAGGCTGCATCGTTCTCCTCATCGAAGCTCCTTTCCTCTTCGCTTACGTTGCCTTCTCTCAGAAGCCCAGGGAGTGGCTCGAGAAGCAGAACAACACGCCTTTTTTCAAAGCCATACTCCTGATCACCATCGGCCTCGTCCCTCTTCTGATTAGCACCAATCTCAATACTATCTTCGGGTCCGGACTGGTCCTCATGGCTGGTGTCTTTTATGCTGTCATCGGCTTCGGCCGTAAAGCTCCTCGAGAGCAAATGGCGGCTGCCGCCACGGGCCAGTCACCGTCGGCGATGGAACAGGGTCGCCCCCCTGTATACTGAGCTTATTGACGTAAGTCAATATATCCTGAGTGAGTCATATCACTGTTGGAAAAATCGGATGAAATCATCGAAGAGCGCTCATATGAGACAATTATGAACACAGGAGGCGAAGAACGCAGAAGATGCAATCAAACTTCTCTCGCTCTCCTTCTCATCACCGGAGAAGCATTCATTCAGCGACGGCTCGTCCCGGGATGCGAGGAATCGATCTGCGGTCAGGACAGGATCCGAATCTATCGGGAATCGGAGTCGATGGATTGAGGATGGATATGACAAACTAGGCACTCTTTAAGATAAATCGTTTTCGGAAGGGCTTCGTCACAGGCGCATCGCAATTCAGTGATTGAATCGGTCATCGTAAATTTTAATCCGGATGGCATGGAATCGATCACCGGTCTGGTAAGAGCGAGGAGCAATAATAGGGTCGACTGTATTTACGTTGTACATTTACATCTGAGACAATCCAGTGCAAGTCTTTTTACAATCGTCTCTTCAGCCTTCTCTACGGGTTTTATATCGCTTGAAAGTCATCGAATAAAAAGTTTGGAAATTTGTCGAAGCCTCTCAATAGTTACGATGATCTATGATTACGATCTGCAATTTCGAGAGCTTCGCTCCGAAACGGGTGCGAAGCCGTTTTTCTCGATGGTACCAAGTTCCTGTAGGGCGTACAGGCCAATCCAGAGGTTTCAGCGCGTCCTGGTTTCTGAAAATATTTCCGACGGCCCCCAATCTGAGAGCACGTCTCCCGTAAAAACTCTTCCCGAGACAGCCGTCAAAAAGTCCACGACTGACTTTCGGCTATAGATCTCGTCACGTCTCCCCCTTCACATTTCTCAGCCTCTAACCCCATTTCGACGTCAGGCGGGTTCCCTCCCTCCCAGCGTCGTCTGCTCGTCGCAGCTAAGGTAAATAAACACACGGGAAGATTTTTCATCGAATTATGCGCGTTCCGGGGAAATAATCAGAAAGTGATCTTTCAAGTCCGGCAGAGAATCCAGGCTAACCAGAGGCATGGGTTGGCAACTGGAAATCGGCAAAATGTTCATCTACATGGCGTTTCCCGTCACCATGTTCTACCTCTTCAATCAACCGCAAGTGTTCGAAGAGTGGGTGATTGAGAAGAAACGGGAGTGTTATCCCCCGAGAAATCTCACCTCTGACCAGGATATCGAGGCTCTCAAGCAAGTCTACGAAGATGCTCAAGCTAAGAAGCTCCGAGAACAATTGGAAAAGATAGAACGATGACTTCCTTGCCTCTTGGGTGACCTTACATGCCGTTGCCGTGACAGCTGATCTCCGGAAGCCATCCCTACCGGTCGCGACTGAGCGATTTCGGAGGAGTGTCTGCGAAAGCTGGACCGCCGAAGTCAGAGGGAGCCTCGGATGACTGGTCGAGTTCGAATAAAGGACCGCGATTCCCTCGCATAGTTCGTAATCTTATCCGTTTCTTCCTTACGGTTCGCATCACGGAGCCAACTTATCCGAGTTCATTAGGCTTCCAACTCGTCAGTCGAAGGTCATCCCTGCCGGAGGTGATTCCGAGGAGCTTCGAAGTCGAGAGCAATTTTTTTTTGCTCGGCTCTCATTGATGATCTGATGTATCCACGCGGGATGATACCCCATATTTGAACTCCTCATCCGACGAGAGAAAAGCCTCGAGACCTCTCTTCCATCCGTCGAGACTTGAGACGGGATGTCCTCCTCGTGATGAATCCAGACATAAAGCTGGGACTTCATCAACTAAGGAGGAAATGCTCGATGGGATACACAGCTCGGTTTCTAAGTATCTCTTATTGAGGCTGATTGTCACCGTGGGGGGAAAGACACTTGACAGCTGATGCTAACGATATTTCCCGGCCCAGCTCCCGGGGTCGATGGTGGAGGTGTGGTATGCTTCGAGTCGCCTGCCTGAAATTGAATGGTCTCCAGAAAACCCTGAGAGCGCGCTCTTCCCGACTCGAGCCGTTCCATTCCCCGACGAGACGATTTCTCATTCGATGCGATTGATGTATTTGAGTCGGGGGCGGAATCTCGAATGAGATTTTCTCGAATTTTTCCATCATCAGCAGTCATCATCGGAGTCATCCCATCGAGGGACTCTCTCATCAGCAGCCGGTAAACTTCCGACGGGAGATCCCTATGAAGGTTTCTCCCTCCAGCGCAAATTCAAAGGAAGGAGCACTTCTCACCCCAGATGAAGCTGAGATTCATGGTTTATGGCGAAGCGAGTCCTCCAATGCTCCGAGTTACTCGTCCTTGGGTTTGAACTAAAATTATTATGACCCACACCCGGCATCCGACGTCGGAGCCCGGGCTCGTGCGAAGCGTGGTCCCCCTCATATTCCAGACCCCTCGTTTCGAGCATGAATGGGATTCGGGGCTTGAGGTCATAGGTCATGTCAATTACGAGCACACTGCATATTCTGGGTCGAGAAAAATCCACGGCCGTCGATCTCGAGTCGTCAAGCGAATGCCTTCGGTCGGTAGAAGGAAGTCAGCATTGTTTACTTCAGACAGCTGCCCTCACCTTCTCTCCCCTTCTTCTCCATGTCCTCTGAGCCTCTGAGCGATCAGCTGTACAAGGGAGAGGCGTCCTCCGGAATTTTATTCGAAGACAACGAGGGAGGCAGCTCTTTCCGAGAACGCTGCCTCGTCTTAATTTAAACCACTCGAGAGCGGATCCCATTGCAGTCGACACCGAATGGATTCTAAAGGATGACCGAGGAATCTACAGTCAGTTCTAGCCGGGGTAAGCCTCACGACTCACGACCATGACTCGACAAAGTCCCTCTCCAATAGATCCAGTGATGCGGGAGAAAGAACGCCGAGATTGACGGTATCTGTATCTGTATCCCCGTTGAATCGGAAGCTCGGCCTTGTCATAATTGTGCATCCATGTCGGTGTGACAGCTCTCGGCTCTACACCAAATGGCTGAAGGACTTGCGACCGAAATGAGATAATGTCGGAAGCGTTCGAATTTCCTATTGCATCTCGGTGAGACTGTCCTTTGCCTCCATGCTCTAACATGGGTGCTGACGGAGAGAGTCGTTCGCTTCTATCGGGGCATTCGCGCCGCATATCGAGAGGTAAAAGCTCAATTTCCCCTCGTGCTGAATTTGCACCTGCACCCGATCCGTCGAAGGTGACAGGGAACGCTTGGACGATCCGCGGCAATGCTTCGTTGTACAGAAGGATCGTGACTCTTCGACGGAGCGGCGCAATGAAGGCTCCTTTGGAGCTCAATCCTGTCGTCTCGTATAGCCCGATGGATATTCCAACAGAATCCCGCGAGGCGTGAGGGACGGCTAGAAGATGACGTCTAGCACGAAGATGTTAGAGAGGACCCTCGGGGGCTTCCAACTGATCGCTCCATTTCGTCATTCGCTGTTTTCAATTACAGTCGTGTGGCGAAGAACAGCAGTGGAACGGCTGCGATGGCTTGCACTGCTGGTGCCCCTGATCGGTGTCTTGTGGTCATCGGTCCCGGCCCAAACATTCCGGATCCTCCTCGAACTCATCGGCACCATCACTGTTGCCTACCTCTCTGGATGCCTCATCGGACTGATACCGCGAATTCCGCCTTTGTTGGGCATGATGCTCGCGGGTGCTGCTCTGAAACAACTCGACCTCGTGAATTTGCCATCGACCTTGGCCGCTCATCTCCGCTCCATGGCTCTGGCGGTTATACTCCTTCGAGGTAATCTTTCAAAGCTGTTTGAATGAATTCCCATGCATGCGGAGTTTTCTGCCTCGTGAGAGATTTGAACCGGGAAGCGGCCGCAAAAGATGGCTGACTTTCGCTCCGGATAGGTACAATAAGTTTACCCTTTAGAGTTCTCCTTCGATGACCTTGTTCTCTCCCCAGCGGGTCTAGGCCTGGATCTAAGTGTGCTTAAGGCGCTCAGCGCAGCTTGCATCCGGTTGACGTTCTTGCCGTGCTTCGCCGAGGCCGCCTCGATCTGTGTGGTGTCCCATTTGGTGCTCGGCCTCCCGTACACATGGGGGCTCCTTCTCGGGTAAGATATGATTCCTGATCATGGAGCCATCGGACTCCCCAGGCACTCTCTTCCCGCGAGTCGGCGAACCAAGGCGACCGCGTTGCGGACTGTGATTCGAGTTCGATTGAGTTCGCCTCGCGGTTCGACGATCATGGATTAACCTGGTAACCATGGTCTTCGGAATTCTTCAGATTCGTGCTGGCTGCAGTCTCGCCGGCGGTTGTTGTTCCGGCGATGATCGATCTGACGAACAGGAAACTCGGTACCGATAAGGGAATACCGACATTGTTGATGGCAGCCTCTTCATTCGACGACGTGGCGGCGATCACGGGCTTCGGAGTTGTTCTGGGAACGATTTTCTCCGGAGGCACTTCCTTAGCGCTCACCTTAGCTTCCGGACCGCTCGAAGCTATCGCGGGTCTCCTCATCGGAGGCCTCCTCGGAGTTCTCCTAGCTACGATGTTCAGGGCAAACAGACGTGGGGAAGATCAGGTCCGTGAGAATTGCGCGAGGCACATGGAGCGTATACGGATCTGTGTCACTGACGATTCCCCACTTTTTCCAGTTCGATTTGGCGTGCGCTCTCCACCTCGTGATTCAGGGAATTATGGCAGTTTTCATTTCGAACAGACTTAATTTCGGCGGGGTTGGGCCTCTCACCGCTATAACAGCTTCGGCTGTAGCAGTGATCGTATGGAAGAAACAGGGAAAGACTTCTGACCCGGATTCAATCGCTCAGACCAAGACCTGCAGTTCTGTGCTCGCGAGTTTCTGGCTCGTCTTCGAAGTGAGTTCATGGGGGCCCCAGCCAGAATATGGGAAGTCAGGCGAATATAGTTTCGTTAAGATTCGGGTTCGTCCGGAATCTGCGTCCGTCCTCCTGTACGGACCGAGAATTTTGACGCTTTGAAGGGATGTTGATTTATTCTCCTCTGTTCCAGCCTGTGTTGTTCTCGTTGATCGGTATGGAGATACAATTAAACAGACTGAAGCCGGCGACAGTGACAGGAGGGTTACTCACGCTGGCTATTTGTCTCACCATCCGAGTTATTGTTACCTTCTTTGCCGTGGGCCATTCGACGTTGAATGTTAAGGAACGGATATTCGTCTGCGTGGGATGGTTGCCCAAGGCCACCGTTCAGGCCGCTCTGGCTCCGACGGCTATGGACATGGTTCGGAGATGGACTGCACAAGGAAAACCCCTAGAGAAAATGGCTCTCCACTACAGCGAGACAGTTAGTATTGGATAGATAGGATCCGTGGACTGACCACGGAGTACTCCATCGATTTGTTGCTTGGAAGGAGGGGTCCCGGAAAGTTCCGAGAGAAAGCATTCGAGGAGGGAAATAATCCAACTTATCCGATTCTATTTCTCTATTTTAGGTTCTGACGGTCAGTGTGATAGCCATTATGGTAACCGCCCCCATCGGAGCAGTGGCCATCTCGGTTCTTGCGCCTCGACTTCTCAGAGTGGAAAAGACAAATCCAGATGAGGGAACCGAGTGCAGCATCTCGTTGAAAGATGACGATGGAGGCCTCGAGGAACGAAGTTGATATGTCTCGATGACAGGAGCTGTACAATATTGAGGGTCGGTGAGGATTTTGCGTTCGAATCACCGAAGGCTCTTCTAGTCGGGGTAATGATCAAGTGCTGGGAGGTTTGTTCGATCGACGGAGCCGAAGGGAATATCTCTTCCTTTCCATTTCGTAAATCTCCATGACAAAGTTCGGAGACGAGATTTCCGTCTTCACACGTCTAAATTAAAAGAACGTAAGAATCTCGACTTCGAACGATCGGATTTCATCCTACGACTCGACTTTTCATTGAGTGCGATTATCCGCCGACCGCTGGTGAACCGGTGCGGCGGACAGACAGCCGGTCTGTCAGTCAGTCAGTCGGTCATAACCACCCGCACTCTGCGGAGCGGGTAATCCTGATGCCGATAATGGGAAAGTCACAAAAGATCGTCGTAGAGACATTCCCTACAAATTCTGAGAGACTTTTTTATTTGTACAGGATGGAAATACATAGTCGCTTCGGGTCAACTGATATTTAGTTCTTCTTCGGGGGGAGCACCATCATGCGAGGAGCGATGTTCATCGACATGAGCTCTTGGAACAGTAATTTGCAGGCGTACGGGAGCGTGATCTGAGATATCTGGGTTTTGTTCCTGCAGCCTTTACATTCGAATATGTTGTTCCGGAGATTAGCGATGGCTATCAAACCGCATATGTTGCAGATATGCGTACGGTAGGGATCCGATGCGAAGAACAATCTCTCACGCAGGAATTGGGCTGCACCGTGGGAAATTTGACAATCACGTTCCATTTCCCCGAAACGCAGACCTCCATCACGGGCACGACCCTCCATCGGTTGTCGAACGAGGATCTGCACGGGACCTCGGGCACTGTGAAAAAAGACATGGCCTAAGATGCTATCCGGAGATCTTCGTCGATCTCAGGCCGTCTCGATGAGAAAATGACATCCGGTACTAACCGCGAGTGGATTTTGTCGTCGACCATGTGTTTGAGACGTTGGTAGTAGGTGGGACCCAGGAAAATCTGGGCGTTGACTTTCCTCCCGGTGTGTCCATTGTACATGACTTCGTTACCTCTCAGATGGTAACCGTACTCCATGAGGATGTTGGAGATTTTCTGTACGTTCACGGCATCGTTGAACGGCGTGGCGTCACCTATTTCTCCCTTGTTCGATGCGACCTTGCCCTGAAGGCACTCGATCAAGTGACCGATTGTCATACGAGATGGAATGGCATGGGGATTGATGATGATGTCCGGGGTGAGACCTTCGACCGTGAACGGCATGTCCTGCGAGAGGATCGGGTCAAGTCTCGGGTCGACACGGCTCGGTGACCGTAGATCACAACCAAAGGATTCAATGCGAGTAATGATATGGGAAGGGATCGAGCTTCTGCTAACAGGGCTTGCCAACTCACCTCTTGTCTGTAGGTAACTCCACAGGTACCTTTTTGACCGTGTCTCGAGGCGAATTTGTCACCAATTTGTGGAATACGCACCGAGCGCACACGGATCTTGCAGAATTTGTAGCCGTCGCTGTTGATTGTCAGCATGACTTGATCGACGATGCCAGTCTCTGAATTTCTGAGGAAAGTTGAAGCGTCTCTCTTCGAGTATCTCTTGTTTGTCGAGTCGAGGTCGTCATCGTTCTCCGGCAGGGTGATCGTCTTCCCGATAATGACGTCATCACCTGAAACTCGGGTTCCTGGCGCGATGATTCCGTCGTCGTCGAGCTTATCGTAAATGGCATTCCGCATGCCTTGACAGGTCTCTCTCGTCGGTTTTTCGAATGTTTCCTCCTGGTCACCCATTCGCTTATTCTCTGAGTCTTTATAAGAACGATAGAAAACCGAGCGGAAGAACCCGCGGTCAACGGCGCTCGCGTTCAGGATAACGGAGTCTTCCTGATTGTAACCAGTGTAGGACATGATGGCGACTATGGCGTTGATTCCGGCAGGAAGCTCTCGGAAACGCAGATATTCCATAGAACGCGTCGTGGTCAGAGGTTTATGGGGGTAATACAGCACGTGGGCGAGCGTGTCCATTCGTACGTGGAAGTTGGTGATATACACTCCCATGGCTTGTTTCCCCATAGCAGATTGGTAGGTGTTACGAGGTGACTGATTGTGATCGGGGAAAGGAATGATCGAAGCACATACACCTTAAATCGATGAACCGATATCCAAATTAGATAAGCTATAATGAGAAATTACTGAAATGACTCACAATGGAGCAACGGTAATCAGGTCCGGAGTATACCAGCCGAGAATTTTAAAATTGTCAGAGAATCCGCTGAACTTACCGAGAATCATGGACGGATGGATCTCACAATGAGTGTAAGTGCTACAGTAGGCCAGGGCCTTGTCCTGTGTCAGATCGTCTGGGGTCATGGCGAGCATGACAGTTTCCTCTTCGAGCGTATCGATGTACTCCACCACTCCCGAAGCCACGAGATCCTGCCAGGAATAGTAGCTGCATTCTCTCTCTTTCAGCTTGTCGATGTGATGTCTTTTCAGGAGCAGTTTTTGATTCTCCACGATGAGCAGAGGTCGACAGATCCGCCCGGCGTCCGTGTAGATACGAATCTCCCGATCTCGGATGTCTCTGACCATCGATACTTCCGAGACGATGATGTCCATTTGACGTCGGAGTTTCTGCAGCGTCAACATCAGCTGTTCGGGATCTCTGTGGATACCGACCCAACAACCATTGACGAATATTTTCGTCGCTTCTGCGATAGCCGACGGCGCGATTTCCTCCAAGTTCTCCATGCTCCACTCCTCCAAGAACTCGAGAATCGGAGAGGGTTGGGAACCGACGGAGATGTAGGACATGAGCGCCAAGTTCTTCACAAGTCCCACAGCGTGTCCCTCCGGTGTTTCGGCAGGACAGATCATTCCCCAGAGGGTATTGTGCAGCTGACGGGGTTTGGCCAATTTCCCGTCGCGACCGATGGGAGAATTGACACGACGCAGATGGGATAGTGTCGACGCATAAGTGAGCCGATTCAACACTTGCGACACACCCGGTCGGGCCTGATGAGCTTTTTTCTGGTCTCCCCAGTTTCCGGTGGCCAGAGAGTACTTCAAACCGTCGGTGATGATGCGGGTCTTGATGGCCAATTCCAGATTGAAGTCTTTCCCTTTGTCGATGAATTTCTGAGCGAACATCCGAACTTCTTTGGTCAAGTTCTTGAACAGACCTCTGAACAAGAAAGCCATTAGAGGCCCAGCCAAGTCCAATCTCTTGTTCCCGTAGTGATCCCGATCGTCGAGCTCCCTCCGGCCCAGCGCGGCCAACAGAAGTCTGTGCACCATGTATCCGAGATAGTAGGCTTTCTTTGTTTCGCAGAAGTCCGACACTCCGACGTGCGGCAGCATTTCCTTCTGGAGAATTTCACGAGCGTACTTGATACGGTTGGCTTTGGTAACCCCGGGACGAGCACCTCGGGATCCGATGAAGTTCAGTGCAACGTTCTGCTCTTGGATGACGAATGCTTCATCCAAAGACGGCTTCACCATTTCCATCATTTCCGGATCCTCGAAGTCGTAGATGATGTGCTCGAGGATGTCTCTGTCTGCGACGAAGCCCAGAGCTCGGAATACGATCATGATAGGGATTTCCTGCTTGATATAGGGCAGGATCGCGATGATCCTCTGACCGATTGAGGCTTTCTTTACGCCCGAGCCCCCTCTGGCCATCATGTTCACCCACAGCGTGGACGTGGGTCTCGACGAGTGCTCTATACACGACCGACACTCGGCCTTGAAGGCGTATTTCCCGTCTTTCATTTGGAATACGTATACCGTGTTGGTGGCCATTTTTTCTTGGGCAATTAACACCTGTGAATGCGATTGATCTCGATATCATTGTCTGTGGGGCAGGGAAAAGCGAGAATTGCGGGAATATTTCCGAATGCGTTTGCGGATGAAATTCGAAGTGAGTCGAAAGCGGACGATTCTCATACGCTCGCTCACCTTCTCTGAGCCGTTAATGATGAAGTAGCCCCCTGGATCCAGAGGACACTCGTTCAACTCAGACAGATCACGATCTGACAGACCATTCAGCAGACAATAAGACGAACGCAGCATGATGGGAATTTTCCCGATAAAAGTCTTCTGGTGTTGAGTTTCCACCGGATCTTCGCCATCGCGTATCACTGTTTTGATGATATCCACGTATAACGGCGCCGAGTACCTGAGATAATGCAAGCGAATCGTACTTATAAACGTACGCTGAACCCCGACTCCATGGGGAAACCACCGTGACCTGTCCAAATTATCTCACGGCATGACACAGTAGGGATACGCCCGAGGACTCCGAGTTCGGCCGAAATCGAGCTTGAGGCTCGCGTCGGGTCGACACTCGGTGAGGAAAGAAGAGCCAGTTTTTTCAATTATCCGCATTTTCGACCTTTATGAACATTTTTATCGGTTTCATTTCTATACGTCAATCGGAAACATATGATATGAGTTAAGAGCGCGTAGGGACAAGGAGCTCCCCTTCTTCATTTCAGTCGATACAGCATCTTTCTCTGCATACGATGTTGGACTTCGCCTCTTCTTATCATTAGCGCGAGAACCTTGCAAATGGACCTCTCGGGGAACTTTTGACGCGTGAAATCTTGAATGATGGTCTGCTCGGACACCTGACTGCCGATGGCGAATCGCTTCTTGATCTGCAGTTCGATGCGATGCAACATCTGGTATTCTTCATCGGTGGTGAAGCCTTCGGCGCCCTGTAGCTCGCCGGAGTTGGCAGCGTCCAGGGTCGAAACCTGGAACAGCCTCAGAGCCTCGTCGATCTGTCGCTCCGTGGCGAACGGCAACAACTGCATTTTCGCAACAGCCTCGCTCATCCGAATGATTGCTTCGAGTTGTCGGACGGTGATCGGAATAGAAGATTTTTTCTCGGTCTCCTGCTCGTGTTCCTTGGCACCGTTCCGCATGATCACGTAATGATGCTTGAGCTTCTCGCCCGCTTCCGCACTCAAACGAGGCCCGCATTTCTCGCGGCAGTATGCGATGTACCTCTTGAGCGTATGCAGATCGATCTCTCCGCCTTTGGGCTCCTCCTGCTGCGTGACGCCCGAGTTCAGATGGATCTGCATTACGTGACGTGCGAGCGTCTTGTCCTTGCCCGCGTCATGCAGATCCTTCACGATAAAAATCGTGTCGAAACGCGAAAGGATGGTCGGCATGAAATTGATGTTCTCGTCGGCTTTCAGATCGTCCCAACGGCCGAAGACGGAGTTGGCCGCTGCGAGAACCGCGCATCTGGTGTTTAGCGTGGTCGTGATGCCGGCCTTAGCGATCGAGATCGTTTGCTGTTCCATGGCCTCGTGGATTGCGACTCTGTCGTCTTCGCGCATTTTATCGAACTCGTCGATGCACACCACTCCTCCATCGGCGAGGACCATCGCGCCTCCTTCCATGACAAAGTTCCTCGTCTGAGGGTCTCGAACCACGGAGGCTGTCAGACCAGCCGCCGAAGAACCTTTCCCGGAGGTGTACACCGAAACGGGCGCTACCCGCTCCACGAATTTGAGCAGCTGCGATTTCGCGGTACCCGGGTCGCCGAGTAAGAGCACGTTGATATCCCCTCGACGCGTCAGGCCGTCGGGGTGTCTTTTCCTACTGCCCGCGAACAGGAGACAGGCGATGGCTTTCTTCACGTCAGTGCTACCGAAGATCGAAGGAGCGATACTTTTCGCCAGACGTTCATAGATATCGTCGGACGCCGCCATGTTCCTGAACTTCTCCTCCTCTTCTGGCGTGTACGTTCTCGATAGGACGCTTCCCATCTCCTCGGTATCCACGATCAGGCCCACAACCCGGATATAGGGGAAACGAAGACCGACGTTCTTGTCGCCGAGACCTTGACGTTTGTTTCCAAGGCCGCTACGCAGACTGTAGATGCCTACGGCTGTGACCCGGTTGCCCGGCACGATACGTTCGCAGAGCGACCGATCCACGTACATCTGCATGTGTCGTGGCATCTCTCCGTACGGAACTTGTTCGGGAGCTTCCTGCAGTTTGATGAGTTGGAAGTTCACGCACTTGCTCTTGTCGTGAACGATGAAGTATGGGTCGAGAGGACATCTCTGAGCGCCGGATGCGCCCCCCTGATCGGCTGAGGAGCAACGTCGGGGGAGCTGCATCCCTTCTAGACCTGGCTTGAGAGGTATGTTGGGCAGTGTCTGCTGACAAGATCTACATCTGAGGGTGATTTTCGTGGCTTTGGCGCGGACCTCGCTGGCCGCCACGACGATACCGGGGATCTTGACGAGGGTCGAAACCTCCTCAGATTTAAGGTCTCGCATCTGGACTGGGTTCGCGTTGCTGACTATCATGACCTGAACGTCGCAAATCTGTTCTTCGCCGACTGGGCGCGGTCTTGTCAACTCGTCGGCCACCTCAGTCGCGGCTTCTTCGAACAATGCTAAATGGTCCGAAGGCTGTTTACTCAATTTGTCGGCGAGAACTTCATCGAAACTTGCAACGTCCTCGATTTGAACTTCAATCCAGTACTGTCCCATGTTGTAGTGCTGTTTCAATTGATCCCTGTAGCGGTAGTTGAAATTGCCTTCGTGAAATTGTCGGAGAAACTCTCGGAACCGACCCTTGATGGCCTGGTAGTTGATCTGCTGATCGTTGTTGGTGTTTTCCGAACCGAAGTTATCGGAGTAGAAAACTCCGGCCTCGTCGAAACCAGACATGGTTGATATCCGATGACACGAAAACACTGAGAACTTTGTCGAAAGGTCTGTCGATCGAGACACGGACGCTCGTCAACAACAAGCGACGATTTAAATGGCGCGCTTTGGCGCCAAAATCGACGAGCAGAACATATTGTCGTCGACAAGAGCGCGCGCGTTCCGCTCATGGGAGAGGGAAGCTCCGATAGCGGGGTACCACAGGCGCGCTATCCACGAGCCGGCATCCTTCGGTCAGGAAAAACTTTCTGCCTCTCGTCCTCCGCCCAGGCAAGAAGAGCGGTTTTTGACGTTACCACCGGTACCCTCTGTTCGAACTCTCGGGGAACCCGAGCACGCCATCACCGCGGGATATCGCTACGCAGGGAGAATGGATAGACGTCTGATATCGATCTTCGAGTGGGGATGAGTTCCGGAAGCGGCGGAGAAGGGGAAATTCCGGCATGACCCTCACGAGACTTGACAACGGAACCACACTCCATTGCGACGCGGAATGGCATGAGAAAAGACGGCGACCCTGATATGCATGGGGGGCGGCGGATAACGCGCTGCGATCGGATATATTCGATCCTTCTGTGATGTCTGACGCCAGGGCATGCTGGGCTCTCGGTTCTCCGTAGAGGGCGGTCTCTATTCCGGAACATCCTTCTTCGGAGCGCAAAGATTTACATTTGAAATCTTGACGTCTCTGAGTAATTCTTTCAGGAAATTATGATCCAGATTCCTAGATATAGCGGGCTGTTGATTGGGTCGAGCAGATGATCGCAGGGAGCCACATTCGACCCGTGATGCAGTGCAGCCAAGGATGCGAAAGATCAGGGGGAAACCAGCATGTCTCCGGTCTTTCGTGGACACCAGTCTCAGGCGAGCCTTTGAGATGCATGCTCTTTTGACTGAAGCTAATATTCCTTCCAGTCGGTCCCATTTACGCGAACTCCGTGGCCCGGGAGGTTCCCATCGCAGCCGCCGGTCGCAGCCGAGTTCTCTCGCGAGAGTTATCGGCGTTGATTGGAATTATGCTGATTTGATTTCTCGTTTGCCTCATGAAATTCTTCACTGCGAAGCGAGCTCTCCTGCAGTATTCACAGAGTTCCGTTTCGATGACACTTCAGACGAGTGCGGCAGGGTATATTCTCATGACCGCGGAATCGCGTCCGAACTCTCCCGCGGCTCACGGGAATTCTGTTCATGTTTGAAAATGGGATATTGCGACCTATCAAAGTAGCCTCGGTCTAATTCTATGGACACAGGTACACTTCGATGATACACACATTGAGTATCGCCGGATATTGGGAAACTCACGTGAGATTGCGAAGCCGGGCTTCGTTCGGCATCATGGGAGTGGGCGCACCATCCTTCTCCCAATGTGTGGGTTTTGAGAGGTAGATCTGCTCGAACTTCACTTGATATTTCGTCTGTGGATATTGAACGCAAAAAATGAGCAAAAGCAAGTATCTCTTCAGCTCCCCCACCAGCGAGCCTCCGCAAGAGTCGAGCTCTCGAGAGGCTCCAACCCGAATCATTCCGAGCCAAACATGAGCAAACATAAGGATCTCTGATTGGATTCCCTACCGGCTGCTCGATGATTCCAGAGGAATGTGTCGCCTCAGCCTGCAGTTCTATCGGCGGAGTATCCTCGACAATTTTCTGTACGCTCATTTGGATGAACTCGTCGAAGGAATCCAGCTGTTGACGAACCAGACCCTTTTCGTCGAAGTAGGCTGATATAACGATCCAGCAGGCTTCCTGCCAAAGATCGGCGGTGATCTCATCGGGATCCTCTTCCATTTCTGGGGGAGAAAGAATCACAGAATGAATTCTCCACTCCCATGACATTCATCGAAAACTGTAAGAATCAACCCCATCGAGCTCCAACTCCCCCATAGGATTCAGGCCCGATCGTTCCCACGGTTTGGATGCGTCCCGTATGATGAGCCGGTTCCTTCGATATGCGATCTGACATGCCGAGTACTCTTCGCTCAGCTCTGAGACGTTCTCCAGTCAGCTGAGATGTATCTCGTCTCTCGCATCAGAGGAAGCAATGGCGTCACGGAATAATGTTCTCGAGCCGTGGGTTGTTCGGCTCGACTTCGTCTGACATTCGAAACCTTGGAAGGCCAATATTTATTTCGATACGCATCGTAAATTTCTTGATGACCACTGAACTGAATAGATGGCCCGGAAGACATTCGGCACCGACGTCAACCCGCGACAGGTGTCAAAGTCGGTCTTCGTTAGGTTCTCCGTGAGTTCGGAGACGAAATCGGTCATCATAAATAGAAATGCCGGTTTTCCAGTCATAATCCTCATCGGTGCGCTTTTTTGTGAATAAAGTGAAGAACATCGAGCGTGCCACTTGGTCACCATTAGATAACATTTACCTTCATCGGGATCATACATCGTGGCAGTCTCTGGTGTTGCCTGAACAAAAAACTTGAAATATATGCGCTAGCTGCGATTTAGCAGTGTTTCACAGAGTGCTTCTGTACGAACACAGCCGGCGCCATTTTGTTTGTTTGCTTGAAAATGTTTCTGAAAGCTCGCCAGAGGGCGCCTCCCGTCATACGTTCTCTGGGATGGCGCCTAGGAGATTCGGTCGCGAATTCCGTCGACCGATTGTGCCTGAAAAGAGTCTGGAATCATATTTCACGCTCGACACCGAATAACTGGCTCCTCGCAATCCAGGTCAGCAAACGGAATCGACGACTTCAGCGTCAGAGTGGCAGAAAATGATTGAAGGGGGCAATGTACATGATGTACATCCAATACGAAAGCGTTGGAACAAGCCCCCCCCCCTCCCCCGCGTCAGAGCGTGCTGCTGCAATCAACGATGAATCGTAGCCTCTTCAACTGCTCTCGCTCAGCTCCTTCTCCCGCGACCCCAAGCAGACACCGTTCTCACAGTAGTCGGCTCTCGGTTTCGGAGCAGCAGCGTCTTGGGGTTTCTTGCCCTGGAGAAGCGGAGCCTCCTCCATTATTCCGCTCTCGATCACGAGCGTATCGGGCCGATCCAGCCACGCCTATGTTCCCGGAAAATCTTACAGAGAACGGCAAATAAGTTGTCGGCTCCGCGAAGCCTGTAGATTCGGCGCATCAGTGATCTGTTCCCTCGGAGTCAGAGTCTCTGGCGTGGGAGTTTGCTGCAGGTTGGAGCTCCCCGACGGACGGGATTGTAGAACATACGTGATTTGGGCTCGAGAACGTTCCTCATCTCCTCAGACGGTATTGAAACAAGTGCCCTTCCTATCTTTGGAGGCTCAATAATTTGTCCTCGATTCGATACCGGAAAATCATTCTTCCTCAAATAGACTTGAACGTTGAACGGATTCTTCGCCGATGTACGCTCCGTGTTTGGCGGAATGAATCCCGTACTTCATCGCATGGCGTGCTAGCCATTCAAAACATTCTCAGATTTCCGCATTTCATGGAGATTCATTGAGGACATTCTATTGAATACTCGGAAAACCTCGCGTGAACGCGCACCACGAAATGGATAGCAGGACTTCGAACCCTACGATCAGTAGTTCAGAGACGATTTTGTTCTGGGTGCGGAGCATGGTCTTTTCCCACGAAGGAGGGCCCGTACGAAAAAGAAAGATGGATTGCTTTACTCAGTTTATCAGAGACAGCTAAATACGTATTGCGATTGCCACAATTTGGTACAGTCAAGTCAATATCGAGCTGATTGACTATTTAATTAATGTTCATACGGCGACAAGGATAACTGCGAGAATGAAATTCCTGATCCTCACATTGTTCGATAACATTAGCTCGCGAGTTTCGAGGAGTCGTGATCAACCATCCAACAAACTTCAACCACTCCTCGAGAACCTTCGGCGCGATCCTTGAGACTGGCCTTGAGGTTCCATTTCCGGTTTCGGGTTGTCTACCCGCAAATTATCACAAGGAAAAAGCTGTAGCTCCAAGAAAAGACGGATTCAACTCGAAGTTTGAGATCGCTCCCGATCCGTCGCACGGAGCATTCAAGCTTCGCCGGTTGCGTTTCGTGAGATTTGGTCGTGAACGAGGCGTAGACGGTGATGAACGAAGTGTGTCTTTTTTGTCGTGAGATCGAAAGCTTGTTTCCTGTTTCCGCAGAGAACTCGGTGTCCTTGATAGTCAGAAGCTTCGAAGACCTCCACCGTCTACATCAGCAAAGGTTATGGGTCCGGATAGACTTTAACGTTGCTGTTGCAAATTCTCTCCTCCAGATGATGGATTCGCACCATATGTTCCTTGACTCGTCCTCTTCGAAAACTCCTGAATTCGCAGTTTGAGCATCCATAGGGGCGATGGCCAGTGTGGCGAGACCTTGAGCAACGATGGATATCGTCAAGACCGAGAAAAAATGAATGAGGGAAACTGGCTACGGAATTTCGAAATTCGCTTCACTTCTCTCGATGGGGAGTGGAGTTCATGATTCTATGGCTTTGCATGGGGCACGGCATCTCACCTGACGTGGTAAACAACATTAGATGAATTAACTGACTTGTAGCCGCACAAACAACAAACATGGTTTCCATCTAAAAGGTATTTGATGTTTTTATGGGTGACCCTTCTCTGGTTTGAAGGTTCCTTCTCCTCGAAAACAGTCGTCGCGTTCAGGCCGTTCATTATTCCTTCGGTGAAGAGCAGGAACTCGGCTGTAAGAAATACACAAATTTCGGACTTTCGTCTCATTCAATCCCTCTCAGTATCGGCTTATCGGAGCATTCGATCGTAGCGCGGGAACCCAGGAGAGAGGGTGTTCCTCTGACACTTCGGCAATGATGTTACTTGGAAGCACTTTTTTTTATTAATGTCTCAATATGAACAGCTCTTCGGTGCCGCTCCGATCCAGATCCAGCTGTGTCCCCGAGATACACTGAAATAAAGATAACCGGGTTGTAACCTTCATGCCACACATTTCGGTACCGGCGACATGATCGAACTCGGGATGCACAAACACCAGGCTGAAAATTTGATTCTGAAAGGTTGCTCTACGGGTTTGGATAGCTGACGTTGCGCATAGTAGATGCGTCAGTACTCTCGAAAGTGGCAGACTGACACATCTGACGTTACTTGCGGTCAAAATTCAGATTGATGGTGTGCACTAAATTCTGGGACAACTGCTCTAATCGTCTCGCACGGAGTCAATCATCGTGTATGCACAAGGTTCATGCCAATCCTAACAGAATGCATTGTTTAGAGCACAGAACAGTCAGGAGGAGCAGTAAGCCGTCCTCCGTCAGCAACATAAACACGGCAGGGAGCGAAAGCCCCCGAAGGGCCTCGTTGCAGTGCTGAGCCTACCCTTGACCGGGCCGGGACGACACTGTGGCAGTGGGAAGCTGCTCGTCCGCCTCGTTCTGGGCATTCTCTCCTGTTTTTTGCGCTTGGTCACATGGGAAGCAGCGGATTCTCCAGCAGAGTAGAGTTTCTCGTCCCCTGACTTTCGTAGGCTGTCGTGACGGAGCAGCTGGCGGCTCGAGCGGGATTTGAGGGACGTGACGTCGTGCGGGGAAGCTCACAAAACTGGACACTAAGTGATTGAAGCCGGGGCTTGCGCTCGCGGGACTCCTCCTTTCATTTCGGTATTTGTCCCCAGATTGATGAGGCGTGCTATGGGGATACATTCGGTCCCCGGGAGATAAATTCCCCTCTCCTGCTCTAAGCGGTGGACATTCGATCGCAAGAGCTAATTAAGAAGATGATTAGAGCGAATTCTTCTCGGGGAGCTCAAATCCCACAGACTCCTCATGTGTTTGATGCCGTGATACCTTCGGAGAATATCCTCCGAGCAAGGGATCACTGGGAGCGTGGCCAGAGCGACCCGTCGCGGATCCTCTCTAACATTCATTCTGGGCTGCTAAACCCACAGGGTAGGTGGAAGATAACTGACGATTCGCGAAATCTGAGCTCGTTCCGAGGATTCATCTCGTGACAAGCGCTCCTCGCGTCGCGATCCGAAAGAACGAATGGTTCGAGAGTCTCCCAATCGACGCACAGTGGGGCCAAATCGAGTTTCAGGTGGACAAAAGTCCATGGAAATTCATCCCGGAATTTCGATCGGTGATGGATTTGAAAATGTTCGTAAGACTCTGGAAGTCGCGAGGAAACCATGATTACCGCATTTTCCGCATCCCCCAGCTTGCCTGGCACCTGCGAGAACGGAATTGAAATTTTTTTTCGACGACAATTTTTATGAATTTCTCCCCCCAATAGGTGATGCTCGCAAATGAAGATACTTTGTGCCCTCGAATCGGGGGTATATTATTTTCTGCGCTCACTTCCCGTCCTGATCTCGCAATCCCACATGATTACGATCAAGTCAGCCGATTCTGGACTTGCTGGAAAGACTGCACTGATCTGATCTCGTAGATCGGGACCATTCTCATATACTTTTTCGAATCCCAATCAGCGTTGGAGATGATTGACGCTTTTTTTCCGTTCGGAGACGTAAGCGACGCGTCTTGGCGCGGCGTTGACTCGTTCCCAGAGGTAACTGGAGAGCGAACAGAGAGCGACAATGTTCTCCAACTCACATCAACCAAGATCTTCAGATCCTCCTATAGTCTCTATGCGGCGATTCCCACGGAATGAAGGAAAAACTCCGGATCCAGAGGTGCGATGCTCACTCGGCTGTCGGCTACCACTCATTAACCACTCATTATGAATCGATAGGAGACGACGATGCTGGACCCACAGAAGAGGAATCAGAGGGCTCTGAGGCAGCTTCCGCTGGCTCGAGCGATTATTCTGCTGTCGATGAATGAGTTTTACGGAGTTGAAGGAATCCGAGTAGAATAAAAAGTGAACTCCGTCCCCGATTAATCATTTATCATTTAATGTCTTTTCCTCATATTGTGAGCTCATCCCACTTCCCACTCCCTGTGGTGTTGGATATGCTTTCAGCAGTCTTACGTCGCTATTTCAGACTCCCGAGACCTCAGAAAGCAAGAAAATTACATGGAACACTTTTGTCCACCCAAAATCCGATTTGACCCCACTGTGCGACGTGCAAGCGAGGGAAAAGCTGATCGTTCTCAGGAACTTTTCCGGGGGAGATGAACATTCTGGCCAGCCTGAGCATGTGTCCGAGACTCAAGCCCAATCAATGGCGAAGAAGAATAATTGAGCCTGGATCATCACCGGGAAGTTAGGAGTGTATCCGCAGATCCCACGCCGGAGTTCTGCTATTGGAAATTATGATCTCCGGGTGACGGAATGAACGACCTGTCGAAGCCTATGATTCGTTCGAATTTCATTGTACAGCGCGGTGTCCAGCCGTCTTGTCTCATCCCGGATCCTGATCAAGTTTCAGATCAACGACCCTAAGTTTCATCTGGGGGACCTCCGAGATCAGCTTCACTCTTTAGGATGTCTGATTCCCCCAGAGATTGAATCGATGCCTCACTCAGACAGGCTCATCCAATGATTGAGGGCTACGAATCGTCGAAACTCGTATCAAGCGGAAAAAAATCTTGTGTCTCGTCATCAAGGCCCAGGAGAGTTTGCATCCGATATCCGACCATGATCAACCGAGCTAGGAACAAACCCGCAATCAAACGCTAGGCGATCGATTTCCGGATTTCTTAGATAAGAAAGACGGTAATTGAATGTAAATGACAAGAAGAAGCGAGACCCTAGGAATACTCATTCCGCTGCCAGGAAACTGACACAGACCGGGATACCCCGCGGTGTCGATCGCATCAACTTGCGGCGGATCCCTATGAGAAAACGATACTTCCGGAAACCAATATTTCTGCCCGAGTTTCATCAAGTCCCTCATCTCCGTCACCAACTACCTATATTTCCGGAAAATCCTCACGGTACCAGTGAATCTTTTATTCAATCACCATGAAAGTCTGGATATTCACAACGGAAACGCGCTCATATCTTATACCTATACAGGTTTGAACATCGAACTATAAGTCGCATATCGCCATGAGCCGTACAAAAGAAAATGAGAGAAACAGCGCGAACGGACTTCTCCGGGAAAACGTCCGGTTCGTATGGCTCCGAGCGAGCTCTCCCCAAGGCCGACGCGACCGGTCGAGGCTCGAAGGCTCTCGCTTCAGGAGCATCTCGACCGCAACCGCAGGAGAAACGAAGGTGTTCAAGGACTCGATCCGCAGTCCGATCTCTCGAAGCAGAGCAAGTTCGTGGTGATCGAAGCAGAGATCATCAAGGGGGCTGAAGGGGGGGGGGGAGAGGTATTCGGACTAGCGATATGGAAAACTATCTCGAATCATTGTAGAGATAACCATGTTTTATTTTCACAGAACTTATACTCGGTAGTTAATTTGGGAGGTTTTCCATCCCTCAGCTCACACGGGTAGCCGACAGACTTCTGTGCTTGACTGTCGTCTAAGCTGCGGGATCTCTTGCTATAACATCACAAAGAGAGCGTCCGGCGGATGGTCACTCCTACCTCGACCTTCCGTTTTCGTTCTCACGTTGTTTAACTGCCGCAAAGTATCCTGCAGATGATGCTCCGAATCGTTTTCATCTTATCATCGTTCCTCGGTTTGGTTGTTAATGAGAGTCACTTGGAGTCGCCATGCGAGCACGCGCTCGATGTTGACGCTGTGCGACCGCTGTATGTTCTTCTCACATTTTGGTTACGGTTCTCCATCCCTACTCGTTTGGTTCCGGCTCCTCGCCCAACCCGCTTTTGAGTTCCAACATCGGTTCATGTATGTAAGTAAAGTTGGAGTGCTCTCTCTCGGTTGTTCTGTTTTCGGACTGCTTGAAACAGAGAGCTCGCGGTGAAGATCTTCGTTCGATTCACATGGATACATAGGAAATACAGGGTTATAAAATAAGAGCGAGGGAACTATATACAGCGCTGTCTCTGATCTGTGGCATCACGTTGAATCATCAGATTTCGATGTACTCGACGATTCCGCCGCCACCGCCGACTTGCTGCTGGAAAACGTCTATGGTATCGTCGTCTTCCATGTCGAGCCCCGCCGGCGTGTCTGACTCGTTGATCGGCTGCCCATCGAAACGGAACCTCACGTTTTGGATGTTGAGACCGGCCCGATCGCAGTAAGTGGCCATGAGCTTCCGAAGCGGAGTGTGCTTCTTGATCTTGAAATGCACAACTCCTCCATCCTGGCCGACAACTTTAAGGTTGATCTGTTCCGCTTCGTTCTTTGTATCCTTGGCTTCCGACATTGTGTGGCGCGAGAACGAAAGTGCCTGCTAAATGACTCCGAATCGACGACGAATTACGCACCGAACACAACGACTCTGTCAACCGAACTGTAACACCGGCTTCGAGAAGAATATATATGGCTGCCGGTCAACTCCGTGGCACCAACATGGCGGCAACGCCAATCTGGAGAACGTACCACACGACCCACCTCGCTGCTGGTACATTGGCGCGCGCGCCAAAATTCTAAATTTTCTTCCCGGGGGACTTCTCCATGGGCCTCTTTTCGTGGTATTTGTGATTGATCCCCTCACGAACGGAGGACCGACACCCCCAGGATCCGATCCAGCCCTCAGGGCGGCAGTTGACTGAAGTAACGATCTCGCTCGAGCAGATGATTGATCTCTGAGTTGCATCTATTCGTCGTCTGAAACTCTGAAACTCTGTATCCTTCCGGGAATTCAACCTGGAATGGGGCGATTCGATACATGGATTCCACCTCGGGATTTTGGAAAGTATTCGGAGCTTCAATCTGGGGGAGAATTCTAGAACTTGGACGGCACTATCAAGGAGGGGTTCCAGGGAAGGGATTCAGATATGAACAAAGCTTCGGCCAGATGCTCCCTGAGTAAGAGATCGATGATCAGTGGCCTACTTATCTTGGATCGGGCTTTTCGCGGTCGACGGCGCCTATTTTTCATAAGAAGGCCGAATCAGTCACTGAGGCAGGCCGGGAAGTCGTTCCCTACCTAAGTATCAATTATCAAAGGATGATGAGTTCAAGAACTATGATGATGCCGTGATAAGGACAACGGTAAACACTGCCTGGAGGACCCGGTCCCGATGGCTCAGTGTGATCAGAATCGACGTCGATGACTCATCGTCGATGAGAGTACATGAGAAGGATTGGTACTCCCGAATCAACGCAATCATGGGCGCAATTCACAGTTCCTGATTTAAGCTTCGGATAGTTTTCTTCGCGGCCCTTGTAGCCTCGGAGAATGATTTCCACTCGCGGGACTATTCACTTGACAACTCTCCGGAACCGAGGGAGCTCGAGCTTGGCTTGTCTCGGATATCGCTGTGTACAACGAGACACCCATAGCACCCCCTGAATCATCTTCAGAAGCTCCCCGACAAGATGTCGCCCAGAAACCTCTCGTCATTGGACCTGAACGTCTCGCGAGCTCTCATTCGGCCACCGTCACCCGATCGATGCACGGAGAAGTCGAGCTACTCTGCGAATATATCTCCCTCAGCTGTATCCGGCCCTGAAATACGGAGGTGCTCGCACTCTTGACCAGCGTGAGACATAAGCGGGATCAGAGTTACCAACCTCCGCATGCAGGGCCGGGGCAAATGAATAAAATCGAATGAATCAGGATAAAGTCTCAATGGCTGTCTGTCACGGCACCAATTTTCGGCGCTTTCCTTCTCCGAACAGACTTCAAACTTTTTTCAACAGATGCCCAATCACCCAAGTGACGTCAATATCCAAGTTGCTCAGACACATTCTCTCCCCAAGATTAAAGTGCTTCTCCACTTATCGTTGTTTTCTAGCTCATGCATGGCCTTCCAACTTTATTTGATCGCAGCTCTGTGAGAAGGTCATAGGGGGTCGGCACTTTCATCGGATGGGTCTGAGAGCTTCACCCATAGAGAATCGAACATTTGGGAGGAAGGGGACTCCGTGAAACTTAGGGGCTGTACCGATCGATTAATGGTGTCTTCTAGCAATAGCTCTGGATGAAAGTTGTTGTAGCTGTGGTGGATTCTAAATTTCCAGCGTGCCTATGGAATGGAATCGGGGAGGCGGGCAAGCGCAGAACGGGGAAACGAGTAAAGGAGGGAGCGGGGGAATGTCGGAGTGGGGAAAAGGGGGAAGCGGGAGAAGGTCGGAGTGGGGAAATAAATGTGGGAGACCGGGGGCGGGGAAATGGAAGGCGGTGAAGCCGAAAACTGGGAGGGCGGGCGAGCGGGGCAGCGCGAAAATTGGAAGACGGGGAAGCGGGAAAACGGGAAAAAGGGGGCCAGTGAATGGGGTAACGATTTAACGGAGGGCGGGGAAGACGATGGAAGACGGACGCCGCGAACAGGAGAGCTAGAAGGCAGGAGAATGGGGAGATGGGAGAACGGGGGAGCGAGAGAAGGAGGAACGGGGAAGCGGGGTTGAAATACTTAGTCACGAGCTAATCCCATGCGAGTGGAGCCTCCTTCCACCATATATTGAGTTCAATCTGAGGAGATCTCGGACTCTACGAGAAGGACATCAATTGGGATCGCTTCAGCTCCGGAAGCGCACGCGTGGGGGAGAAGTCGGGAGGCCGCGATCAGGTCTCGCGACCGAGAAGGTGCGCTGGTCCAAATCCAAGTGTGATCGGTCAAAATAATGTTGACAGGGTAGGTTCTAAAGAGACAGCAACTCACATTTGTTTTTGTGGAGTAGCTCGCAAACGTGTGGTTTTCAAAAGGAACTGCGGGAGCGGAAGGAAGAAAACCTAGGGGAAGGAAAGAGAGCCATGGTGGGGAAATGCATCATCGCACGATACAGGAGAGCCGAAAACTCGAATGGAGTGAGCGGCTCGCGGAAAGAATGCTCACTGAAGAAAAACCGAGGTTCTTCAGGTGGAAGGATGTGGCGGACAGTGAACTTGAAGAGTTCGGGATCATACGCGGAAGGTAAGACATGAGAAGGGAGGGCACTCCATAAACGAGATTTGCGGGGGAGAAAGATGCACTCGAAATGAGGATGGTTGAGAGCTGTTCACACGAGCGGGGACCGAAATCGGAGGAACGAGCGAGAAAATTACACCGATAGATCAGGAACCGATAAAATTGACAGGGGTCGGTGCTGTTGCGTTGGGAAGATGAAGATTCGAGGGGAGAGGACAGGGCTGTATCACCGATAAGACGAATAACTCGCTTTTGAAAAAAGTCCAAGATAGAGAGGGGCGAAGGAGCGGCTTCGCCCCGGACATGCCATCAGTACTCAAGAAAAGGCCGGATCTGAGTTCTGTAGAGCAGCCTAAGGTGAAGGAGAGATACCAGTTTTCCGGAAGCTGACTTAGCGATGTCCGCTATCCCATCGTACCATTTGGGCTTCGACGGAAGGCACACGCCTGAAATAGAGATATTCGCCGACGGAAGCAGCGTTTCGTTGCCGAAAGGAATGACGAGGGTAGAAGGCCGGGTTTGCTCAGAGGGTGCGGTGAGCTGCGTCTTCTGTGAACTGAGCTGAACCAAATCAGTAGAGCTCAACTATAGAATTCTCCGAAGATCGCAATTGGGGGTACACACGTGTAGCTGGGGGAAGCCCGGTGGATGCTGCGGATTCTCTCCGACCTTAGACGTCGAAAATCCTTCTCTGGCTATGCCTGAGCTATCGATCCTCACGAGCACTGGTCCCAGAATGATATTTCGCGGATGAATACCGTACGGGTTCTGCCCCTGCATCATTCCGCGCAATGTCGGGTCGATGTCTGAGTCCTCTCCGAGCTTCGGTGAAACAGACCGTCAGAGCTCCTGAGGGAGCAATAGAATTGGGAGCAGAGCGGCGCCGAGGGAGGAGGAACCTTCGAGGCACCAGGCGGGTGCAATCTAGCTCAAATCGAGACCTTGAGGTCAATAAGAGCATCTGTTTCTGGGAGATCTGATTCGAGACCGGAAATCGAGATGATTATGTATGCGCTGAAAATACCGACGCGCGAAACGTAGAAGCCAAGTCCCGATCAAAACTGTGGAGGGTTCGTACTTCGGGTCCGACGGTATGGATTCGAGCCGAAAACGAGCGTGCTAGTGCGGTCGTGGATTTTGGGAGGCGGGGACGTACAAAAGATGCAGAGCCGGCTGGCCGTGTCAAACTCGTTCTTTCGGGACGATGCATCCGTGGCGGGCTCTGTGGCAGATATACTGCATGAGGCGAACGGGTTGAAAAGTAGCGTTGAACTCTCTCCGCGCTCCGGTAGAAGACGCAATCGACGCAGATGCCCTAACGCCTTGAGATGATTTCATGACGAAATTTCACGGACTGACGGCGGAAGCATACAGGAGAAAACTGAGACTCTGGAATCGAATTGAAAGAAGGGAACGCGAGAGAGGAGACGATGCCAATGAGTTGTGGGTGGTTGAGCGCGACTTTGAACAGGTCACATCTATAGTCCCGAAGCAGAGAAGGGAACAGGTGGTGGTTACGGCTCCTGAAGTGGGCAGGCCTGCTGGATGGGTGCTTCTGGTGTTGGGAAATGTGGAGTAGTGAAGCTTCCTTCTCAACTCAGCGAGGAATATGAAGTTGAGAAGCTGGCGCGAGAAGGGATATATTCTTCATTTCCTTGACTGGCCTGGCCACCGACTAGTAGTTTCGGAATAGCATCGCTAGGGATATCCCGGGCACAATCGAGGACTTCGGAGGTGTCCCGCGCTGAAGACCAATCAGGCACCGCAGCTCTAGCGCTCTTGAACAGAGCTCTTGTAATGAGTCCCTTTCGTGGCGCTGGCTAATCATTCTGCTCCCCTCACTATTAACCCATGTGGCGACGAGAATGCTCATTAGACGTGTGACCAGATTTGGCCGAAGGTAAATCAAAGCCTCTTGCTCTCCGGACGGGGCCTCGATCAGTAGATTCTGAATACCTTATTTCTCAGGGGGCTATGGAAGACGTGCGACATTCCTTTGCGTATTTTATTTTCCGGGAATTCTTTCCGGATACAGGATCATTCGCGTTCATGAGCGTAACCGAGCTTTGAGTTCCCACGGCTCTAATACACTCTCTCATAGACCATTTACGGACGTTTACGCAGGCGGCGAGCGAGACTACAAGATCGACATACGAACAAAGTCAAAACAAAATTAGGCGCCTGTCCCTCCTTTCGACTGATTCTTCGGAGCACGCGGACTCCATCGACAATCTTAAGGTACGACGTAGTCCCGAGCACAGGTTCCTTGAGTTGATGTACACACACCGACAGCTCCGTTGAAAAGAGTTCTTTTGAGATCATTCTACAAACTAAGCGGTTGTCTCTACATTATACCTGCCCTTCAAAATTGATCCATCAGTCGAGACGGAAGCATCGGGAGGTGTCCAGTGAGTGGCAGTCTATCTACTACTTGAAATCGGACCAAGTCAGCGAGATTCGAGGGGGTGTGAAA